CACAAACAGTTGCCCGGTCATTAGAAGAAGAAAAGATAAAATATAAAATACCGCCTATCTACAATTAATGAAAGAAAGAAGAAAAGCTTTTCGGGAGAATGAAAAGCGTGAATTAATTTTAGTAGTGGAACATTTTTGAGGATTTTGGAAGGTTTGGTAAGGCAAAAAGAGAAAAAAGAGGGGCCAAATGGTTATTGGTCCAGGTGCGCAACAAATGATGATGACCATTCAAGAAGGGGAAGAAGGGAGGGGGGAAGAATTATTTAGGGTCGATCCAAGGAAAATAAAAGAGAAAATATAAATAGAAGAAGAAGAGTTTAACCTATTCACTCTTCTTTTAATAAAAACAAACAAATAAACAAGGTGGCCAAGTTATTCATTTATTTTTTGGAAGTCTTGGACAAATAAAGTAAAGGGAAAGACAGGTTATATATGTATATTTTAAGTGAATCTCCAATTACGGACATAAAAGATGGATGGAAGGAAGATAAATATAAACAATAAATAAACATATAAACAATTGATATTAAGTTGATGAAGCGGGAAAAATGAGAATAAAAAAATTAATTAAAAAAAAACAGTTCTTAAAATGAAAAAAAAGTAAAGAATTTATTTTTATTTTTCTAAACAGATGCTTTTAAATTAATCAATCATCTTTTTCCCTTCATTGTTTATTTAAGGGGATAATGTAAAAAATTTGGTATTATTTTGAAGAAAATTTTGGAAAGTTTAAGGATGGATTACATTAAAAATAATTAAAAATAGAGAGGACTTTTGACGAATAAATATTTAAATAATTTATTATATATTTTTATTCAAAATAAACTATTCATATATTGATATTAAATGAACTAAATAAACTTTATTAATTAATCCAATATTATCATAATTTTCTACTTAATCTTTGAAAAAGAAAACAATTTCTTTTTTCGGTTTGTCTTTAAACATTCATTTAATTAAAAATTAATTTAATTCTAACAAAAAAATATTTCCCCATAATTAACCAACACAAACCCCTAAATTTATTTTTCTTTTTTATTTCGGCAAATAAATTCCACCATCATTTGTTTAGTAGCCCCTCTCCAATTATTATTTACCGCAAACCTGCTGGCGCCCTCAACACAAAAATAATTATTAAATCTGATTAGCGGTCAGCTTTTTTAATAAACTGTAGAAAGAAATAAATTCGCGCATACCAAAAATTACAGCCTCGTTCATTTTATTATTTTTTGAACAATACACTCTCAATTATTTATTTCTTCCTTTTTTCATTCAATGTCATTCCAACGACACGCTCTTCCGGTTTTTTCTTTAATTCAACAATAAAACAGGTGGGTGGAGGGAGAGGAAGATAGGGGGGGAAGGGGGGGGGATAATAATCAAAAATAAAAATAGAAAATAATTCCTTTATTTTACTAAAAATATTAAAAGAGTATTAGAGAAAAGAAAAGAATTATTTTGTAATTTCTCTTCCGTTACCTACTAATCACTTCCTATTATCCACACACACATCTTTCTGTTTAGCGCCTGCATAAACACTTATCAAAAATATTTTTGTCTTTATTCTCTTTATTCAAAATTCCCTTTTGCCCTTCCAACCCTCTTTTAAAAGAAATTCGGGAAAATATTTTCAGACAATAAATAAAAAAATCCTTTTTATTTTTTTTAATTTAATAAATAAATAATTACTATATTTTTTGTTAAAGATTTTCGGAAGATTTAAAAAAATATTTTACTGTATTGTTTGGGGGAGAAAAGAAGAATTATAAAAAAAGGAATTAAAAATTTTTTCTGAATTCCAAAGAAGAGAAGATTTTCTGATTGGCGTGTTACGCTTGAATAAATTTAATGCATAAAACGGCAAAAATATAAAAATAGACAGTAGATTAGTTTTGCTCTGATTTTATTAGTAAAAATAACATAGTGTATTTTCATTGAATATACTACAATGAATGGACAAAAAATAAAATCGAAAGGCTAATTTAGTTCACGAAAATATTTTAACAAAAGTATTTTGGCAAACTTAAAATGTTGTGTGAATGATTAAAAATTGGCCTTGTCGACAATAAACTAAATTTGAAAGAAATTTCTCTAATTGTTTAAAGTTGTATTTAATGCTGCTTTGGAGATTCTTATTCATAGTACATATTAGTGACGACGGTAAATGCAAGACCTTTTAGAAGCAAGTAGCTTGATAAAGCTACTTAAATGATGTAGTCCGTCACAAAAAACCTAGCCACCCCCAAATTTTCGGTAAATTATCAAACAAAGATTGATGCTTATTTTACTTTACAATAATTTATTTTTGATAATCACTTTAACGTGAGATTTTTCTGCACGATGGCTGTCGTACAAGTGAAATTCGACTATTTTAAATTAAAAGAATTATTTTTATAAAAAAATTTATTTATTTTTATTTCTCTTTAAACTTATTTATTTATTTCATTTTCTTCAACATTTTCTTTAATTAATTTATTTTGAAAAAAAAATTTCAGACATTCCCAAATAAACAAATAAGAAGACAAATGAAAAAGAAAGATTTAAAGAGATGGCCAATATATTTTTAAATAAAAATGATCGAATAAATAAAAATGTCTCCAAAAATTGAAAAGAGAGAGAGGGGAAGTTTAAATATTTATATTAAAATATTTTCTCGAAAAAAGAATTGAGGTCAAAAAGGAATAACAGAAAAAATAAAATAAAAAGAATGAAATTATATGAGTATTTTAAGGTTGAAAATTCGGGGGAAGTTTGCGAGGTCAATTCTGCCAGAAAGTCAATGATGGGGTGAGGAAATTGCATTTTAATAATGGGGAGTGCCGTCCTTTTTTATTTTATACAAACAATAAATAAAGCATGAAGATGACAATGAAAATAGAATTTTTGGAAAAGCAAAGAGTGTGAAATTTGGAAGAAAATTAAATACCTAATATTTAAATAAATAAAATGAAAAAATTTTAAACGGACTATTTATGATTAAGGGTCCCCAAAAAATATGAAAATCCATTTTTTCTGAAGTGATAGAAGTTGGAATAAAAAATTGAAGTAATTAAAATTACTCAAGTAAATGTAAGGAATTTATTTTAATTTTTGAGGAACAATATTGGTATTTAATACGAGTATATATTTATTTATCTCTATTTTACTCCTTTTTAATAAAAAATGTTTTTAAATCTCGTGTATATACTATCCAAGCTTTAATCAAGACTAAATAACAATGAATTTATTAGGAAAATATTATAATTAACTAACAAAAGGGATATAATTATTTGAGATCTTTAGAAAAAAACAGCTCAAATTAATTCAAAAAAAGCTACATATTAATTTTTTGAATGTGGTTAACATGCAGATTAAGAAAATAATTAGAATAAAAAAAGACAAAAGGAAAGGATCAAATCTAAAAATTCATTGGCCCATAAATTTATAACAAAAAAATTATAAAAAAATAAAAAGAAAATTTGTAGAGAATTATGTATATATTTAAGATTGAACAGAAAAAAAAGTTAGGTATATACCTATTTAGTGTTGCCAATGGGGACTTACATGGATTTTTGTGAAAAAAAAGGGGATAAAGAAGGTCTATGTCCGGTCGAGCGCAATCTCTTTCTTTCCTTTCTCGTTACTTGTCGGCAATGCCTGTAAATATATTGAGAAAGGATTTGAGAGATTTAAGCTTCTTCATCTTCTCTCCTTATTCTTTTCTTTTATTTTCCATCCTTTCTTCTTCTATATATTTTCTAATTTAGTAGATTCTACCACAGGTAATTATTCCCAAAGGGAGTAAAAAATAAAGAAAAGAAAAGGATCATCATTATCATCATGGCACACAGGAAAAGGACAATTTACCCGTTACCTTGCTAACAATGAAAAGAAATACTTTATTAAGATGGAAATGTTTGAATCAATGAAGCAAAATAAAAAAAAATTATTTTTTAATTAAAATTATAGGAAATTTAAATTTGAAATTATAAAATTTAAAAAAATTAAAAGTTATGTAAATCTGTTAATTAATCTTTTCAAAAGTGTTAAGTAAATAGTTATTCTCTAGTTATAATTTTATAAAAAAAAAATATTTTTACTTATTTAACTCAAAAGCTATACGTAAATTAAGGCAAAGTTAAATAAATAAGAAAAAATGAAATGTTTTTATTAAAAGAGAATTTTTAAAGAACTAATCCCTCCATTGTCAAATAGAGACATATTAAAAAGAAAAATTCTAAGACGAGAATTAATTAAACAAATACCAAAAGAGATTGACAACGAAATAAAGAATAGGTGAAAACGGAACCTGTGGTTGACAGGCATTAAAGGAATATCTTACTTTAATTGAAAATTTTTAAGTTAAAGGAAGATAAATATAATAATAAAAAAATATATTTATATTAAAATACTGACTAAATAAAACAATTGACACTCTGGATTAATAAATTCTGTTCCAAAATTATATTTAGCTGCAAATTGTTTTTCGTTCTCTAAAATTTTTGTCCATGGAAGAAATGGCATTTGAATTCTAATGTAATCGTTTGAGTTAACTTGTGTTTTTATCCTTTAAACCCTGATCCAGGTCAAAATATAAAATGATAGCTCTTTCGACGTATCATGAGTTATGTTAAAAAGGTGAAGTTATTCTAACAATGGGTTAATCTCTCGCATGATTTTGAGAAACCTAAACAAAAAATAGATTTTTGACCAGATAAAATGGAGATAAATGTAATCCAAAAATGTATAGTAGTTAAATGTAAAAATTTCACAGGAGAGCCGAAACGGCGCTCAGCAACTGTTTAGGTCTTTCGTATGGCGCCAAAATCTACTTTAAAAATTGGCACAACAGCTAATTTCCCATTTATTGTTAGAGTCAGTTTGGGCGGCCTGTGTTGCCTTTTCCTATTATTATGCCAAGCTGTTTGCTCTCACAAATCAATGGTCATTAAATGATTTTTTCGAACGATCAATAAATATTCTTTCTAAAAAATATAAATTTTTGTTTTTTAATTTTAGAAATGAACAGGCGTAAGCTTGGAGCTAAAATTTCAAAAATTGCAAATTTTACATTTCAACAACTCTCTTCTAATAATTTTAACTCTTCTGAGGAAAATAATAATAAAATTAATAATAATGGAAAAAATAACAGTTCAAATCAACAAAATAAAGTTACTACTAGTGAAAATAATAATATTGATTTGGATAAAGGAAAGAAAAGGCTTCCTTTGGTATTTTCTTTTTATTAATTTTTCCAAAAATTTAATTTTTTAAGGGAGAAGTTAAAGTAATTAATGCGGTTGGAAAAACTTGCAGTGCAGCACCTTTGGAGAAAATTTCAAATACTCAATTAATTTCTAAAAAGAGAACAGAACGTTTTGAAGTTTGTTTGGATGAGGATGAGGAGATTGATGATGATAAATCTAAAAATGATAGAAAATCAAGTAATTCTGAAGTTAAAAAGAGGCGTGATTTATCTGCGGATGAAAATAATGACGATTTTAATAAATTAAATGGAAAGTCGAGAATTGAATTGTTATCACCGGTATAGAAACTTTTTAATTTAAAATTTGGAAAAAAATTTAATTTTTAGTTGCCTGGAAAGGAAAATGTTATGCCAATCAAAACTCCAACAAAACAAGACGAAAAGGATTATTTAACACATTTTGATACGGAAAGCATTAATAGTTACAATACAGCGCCTGAATCAGTTACTGAATGTTTGACAGCTAAATCTCAATTTTCAATTCCTCATTTAAAAGGACAATTAACTTTTGATGATCCATTAGTATTTTCTTTTTTGTTTAATTAAATATTATTTTTTAAGTATATTGCTTATGAGGAGGATATCTATAAATGGATGTTGTTTAGAGAAAAGTCATATCGACCAAAAACAAATTTTATGGATAAAGTTTGTGTTTTTTTTTTGTAAATTTTACATTCTCCCCTCTAAATTTTAGCAAACACATATAAATGCGGAGATGCGAGGAATTTTAATTGATTGGTTTGTGGATGTTGTTGGTAATGATTTTTTGTCGAATTTATTAAGTTTTTAAATATTTTTAGTTGAACTAGAACTTAGTCCGGCTTCGTTTTTTCTTGCTATTTCTTTAACTGACCGCAGTTTGTCCGTCATTGACTGCCCTAAAGAACGACTTCAGCTCTTGGGTGCTACAGCTATTTTGATTTCGACCAAAGTTCAAGAGGTGTTCCCACCGTTGGTTAAAGACATCGGTATAAAAGTTTTTTGTAATTACCTATATTATAATAAGTACTTGAAATTTTTGGCTGTATATAAGATGAATGCCAATTTTATTTTTTTCCTTCCCACGGGATAAAATCCATTATTTTGAGTGTGTACCATAATTTTGGGTGAACTTTAATGAGTCCAATCGAACTTTAAGAGTCGAAAAACTTTGACTATTGTTATTTATAGGGGTTATATACTTATAGAAGACTTATGGCCCCCTTTCCCCCCGTATACTTCAAAAGCAGTATTTTTGAAAAAATAGCACTATTTTGATTGGACTCATAAAAGTTCGATTTGACTCACAAACTTCATGAGAGCCTTTTTCTGACCTTGAGCCTATGAAACTCGAAAAGTTTTCGTTCTGCGGTCGGGGTCCAACCCGAATATAACCATTCCGAGCACTTCTGATTAAGCGAAAAATGAAAAAGGAAGTTGTTTTCTATGTGACAAATTTTTTTTAGTTTTTGTAACTGATGATAGCTACAGTGAAAATCAGGTTATTAAAATTTTTATAGTAAAGTTGTGTTATTTTTTTAGGTACGAAATATGGAAAAAGTGATTTTACGTGTTGCCGATTTTCAATTAACTTTGCCATTAATTGATTCTTTTGCTCAACTTTTCGATCACACAGCCTCTACTTCTGCATTTCCTCTCAATCAAGTTTCACGAAATTTAATGTGGTTAGTTAATTCTTTTGTTTCATTTTAGAGATTTTCAAACTTAATATTATAGGTTTAGATTAATTAAATTAAATCGAAACTATTATATTAGATTAACATCAGTAAATAAGTATTTCTAGGTATTTTTTGGAACTTTCTACATTTGATTGTTTCTGTGCTTGCATTTTACCAAGTCGATTGGCGGCAGCTGCTTTCCTCTTAGCTTCTTCATTTCAAAAACTTCGTCAAAAAGTTGAACCGATGGCGACAATCGATAAAGAAAAATGGAAATTATGGTCTGATGAAATGGTCGAAAGAACCAGAATTAAAAGATCGCATTTGCAAGAACCAGGTAAATTTAATCGATTTATTTTTATAATTAATTGTGAATATTTATAGCTAAAATATTAATGAAGTTACAACAAAAGGCAGTCTCGTCAAAGTTTCAAGCTCTTTTCAAAGTAAACTAATTTACATAGAATAATTATTCACATTTTAAATTTCAGAAATTTTCTTGTCCAAAGCGATGCAAAGTTGCATGTCTCAAACCGTTGGAATTCGAAGAAGTCGCTAGTCAATTCAGCGATTGATAAAAATATTTTTTTCTTTAAATAATAATTGTGTCACCACTTTTATTTAACCATTTTAACTTTAAACCCTTAATTTACATTTTTTGAATGAATCTCCAAATTAATCTTCTAAATATATATTTATGATTCCAAATAATTTTACATCGAAAAATAATAATTTTACAAAAATTGTATCAGATTTTAGACCCTTTCGTGTTATCTGCCCCATTACGTCGATTTTGGTGTCGTTTATAATCTTATGTTAGTTGTTTGAAAAACGGGTAAGATAATGCGAAAGTACCAAATTTTATTTAAAAATACAAATTGCTAATTTTAACGGGTACTACTCCGTTGAAGGAGATATATCTCCTTAATCCCTTCAATCCTCCAAATCAGCCGATATTTTTTGGACGGTCGAAGTTACGAAGTTTTTCTTTGATCCGATATTTTCTACACTAACTTTAATCTAGTTTGATTGGTTGGCAATGGCATAGGGAGAAAAGTAAAAGGGCAAAATTTGTCTATAAAAAATCCGCAAAAAGCACGTAGGGATAATGGAGTAGTACCCTTTAACGTTTTTTTCATTAATGTCAACGTATTATGGAGACGTTTCAGCCAATATCGCAGCCACCGTTACGGGCGATTGTCGTCGGGTTCCCTGCGTTTGGGAGCGCTGTTGATTGTAAAATTGATTTTGTTGAAAAATCCTCTGCTGTTGAGATTGTACAGGAGTGGTTCTAATTGTATTTGTATAGGGTTGTTGTTGTTGTGTTGACTAAATATGCAGTTTGATTGGAACTTATGTATATAATTTTACCTCTCCATAAACATTTCCTCGGGGTTGTTCGTAAACTGGTTGATGGAACTGCTGTAGCGTTCCGACTTGTTGACTAGAGATATTCCCTCCAATAGGGACTGCCCGAAGAGTTGTCACAGATGAAGTTGGGGTCAAACGTGTACCGTTCGGCTGTTGAACTTGAATGTTTGGCTGAGAATATGTGCCAGAACTTTGCTGTTGACCGTTTGGTTCAACCAGGTAGTGTTGAATTTCTGGTTGTTGGCGGTAGAACTTAATATTATTTTTAGAATATTATCATTTATTAATTTTGTTAGCATACTGTTCGTCCAAAATTGTCCTGTTCATATTCCACTTGACACTGATTTGTTCGATAATTTGGCTGTTGTTGTCCAATATGTTGTGGTGGTTGTTGCTGATGAGTTACATAAATAGTAGTTGTACCAGTATTATTGCTCTCTATTCCGCCAATAGAAGAATAGGGATATGCAGGTGATGTTTCACTAGAATAAATTTGTTGATCTGGTTGCTGATAAGTATAACGCAAAAAGCGCTGAGACCCAGCTGAAGTTTGTTGCTGGGGTTGTAACACTGGCGGTTGCTGATCAATCGGAGCTGTTTGGACATTTGATGTAGAATAGTAATGGTGTATACCACTCCCCATCACGTGCTGTTGTTGCCCTTGACTATTCTAAATTTGAGAAAGAATAAGCGTATGTCTTGAAAACGAACATCCGATACTGTAAACTGATTTTGGCGTCTATGTTGTTGTTGGATGTTTTGATATTTTTGCGGCGAATAACTGTAAGATGTAGGGGAAGCAGAAACTAACGTGACAGCAGTGGAATATGGCGAAGGTGGAGTAGACGGAGGAATTGGAGCTGAAGGACGTGATAAACGCGATTGTAAGGAAGCGGAAGATGATTGTTGTTGTGAGGCATTTTGGCGAGGAATTGCTAGTGTTGGGGTAATGAACGAACCACTACTTTGAGGCTGAATTATCGAAACCTGTTGCTAAAATAAAATAAATTGCAAATATTGGATAAAAGTAAATGCTAACCGAACTGCCAACAGACAATGGTCTTTGAGGTGATTGTTGTGGCGAATAAATTTGAATCAATTTTTGATGTTGACCAGGCGCTAAAATTAAAAAAAGATACGAAAGAATTTTAATCAACAATACGATATCGTGATGGTGAAAGAGTAACCGCACCATGAGTCTCACGTAAATGCTGAAAATATCAAGGAATTAATTTATTGAAAAGTTTTTTGATGAAATTATTTTAAAATAAAAATATACTAAAATAACCAATATTGTTTTTTCACTCACACTCTTAAATACAAGAATCATTAAAACTAGTAACAATTTGAGGACATTAACTAAAAAATCAAATTATGTATAGTCAATGAAAAAACTATTAATTCATGCGGGGAGAGGGTTTTAATTTGAATACTCGATAATATTAAAAGGAGTAAAAAGGAAATTATACAATATTCTGTTTTTGCAGAAAAAAGTATAAGACATTTAAACATTTCAAGACCTTGTTAAGTGACGTCAATGTTTTAAACACTTTGAATTCATTTCCTGTAGAAGCACATTGTTGACATTGGTATTTACAATCTCTTTAAAATAAAAAATGAGAAATTACATATATATTCAAATAAACTTCAATAAAGTATTCCCAACAGAAGGAACATTAACAGGTAAAGAAACTGATGAAACTGTTGTAACCAAAAAAGGTGCTTCTTGTATCACTGTAATTTTTTGAGAAGATGACGAGTCAGTAGTCGAAACAGAAACAGGTGAATTAAAAACCATTGAGGATGATAGAAATGGTGATTGACGTCCAGGAAATTGTCTGCTAAGAATTCCCTCTTCTGACGCACTCAATTTAGAAGACATTTGTAAAGAATGTTCAAGTGATGAACTGTGAGAAGTCCGCATATGTTGTCTAACAATAAAAGTAAAAAAATAAGTTTTAAAATATAAACAAATTTTAAATTTTTTTATTTTGTTAAAATAAAAAGGCAAAAGATTTTTAAAGTTATAAAAATTATTAAACCTTAGTCCTTGCTGATTTTTGTAAGTTTTTGAACATCCGTCAAATGCACATCTATATTTTCTTTCCTCAAACCCACTTAACAACTTAAACATTTTAATTTAAATATTATAGTTTTTCATTAAATTAAAAGGTACTTTATAGATATGTCACCCCCCTCCTATTTTGAGTCTCAGAGTTTTCCTTATGCGTAGAAAATGGTCAGAGATTATTTTCTTCTCCATGTCAATCATTTTTTTCCTTCTTCAAGTATTTTGCTTTTTTATTAAGCCTTTTCACGTATTTTTGAATTTTGTCCTTACATTTCACTCATTTCGTTTCCCCATTTCACTTATTTTGCTTGAAGAAAAAAATGATAGACATGGAAAAGAAAATAATCTCTGACCATTTTCTACGCATAAGGAAAACTCTGAGACTCAAAATAGGAGGGGGGTGACATATCCATAAAGTACCAATTAAAAACCTGCTGTCCCGGCGATTGACATCCGCTTAATAAATCTGGTGTTACACAACCTAATTAAAAACTATTTCGGCAAAATTTTCAAAAAAATAATACCGCTAGATGTAGAAGCTTCTCTTGGTCGATTGTGTTGATTTTCAGGCATTCGTTTAGAAGAAATTGTAGAGAGAGAATTTGGATCACTTGTAGCCAATATTTCAGAAGTTAAAGAGGAAGCCGTTGTTTGCACAACTTAAAATTGAAAAATTTATTAAAAACACTCAAAAAAAGCATTAAATCTGTTTAAAAATATTCACACAAAGTAATAGTAAAAATAACATGATACTTCAAACCAAAGGAATAAGTAAACGTACCATTACTAACTACAGAATTCAATTGTTGTTGAACAATTTGCTTAGGTTTATAATGACAAAATTTAAGCGTTCTTTGCTTTGGAGTTGCTATTGGATGGACTTTATGTCCTTTCGGAAATGGCTTCAATCTTAAATTCATTTATATAATGGTGTAGATTAGTATCTAATTAGAAAATTTTGGCACCAGTAATTTAGAAAAATCCCCTGTTAAACTGATGACTACTTGAATTTAGGGGAGGTAAACTGCATAAATGCACAAAAATTAAAACCCTTAAGCATCCTTATTAGAATAAACACAATAAAATACAAAATTAAATTATATACCTGCAAACAAGTGAAAGAGGTACAGGTTGGTTAAGAGAGGCATTGTAAGCCTTTTCGTATTGCTCAGGGTCATCAACAAATTGTTCACGGAGTCGCTTTCGCTCAGCAATTTTGGCATTTTCAATTAATGCTTTAAAATGAAATAAAAAGATAAAAATTAAAATATATACGAATATGCTCTTCCTCTATATGATGAATTAATTCAAGCAAATTTTTGTAATAAAGGCCACATTTTTCACCATTATTGCTAATCTGACCATCATCGATTTTTGCAAAGGAGCAACAATTTTGATTTAACATCCTAAAATATTGCCGGATTTTTTAACAGAATGATAAATGTTAAAAGTTTTTAGTATTGATTATGCTTGTCAGATCTGCTGATTGTTTAAGCTAGAAATTAAACTAGAAATTAAATGAATTAAAAAATACCTAACAAGCCTTGCTACAAAGTAGACGCGACAATAAGCTTGTGATGAAATGGACTTCTCACTCCGCTAAAAAATGCGCCAAAAAGATCTTTAAAAATCAAATTTGTTTGCATATTAGAAACCGGCGCGGGTCGGGATCACGCGCGAGGTTTTGCGGGATACCGCTCCCGAAATCACTCGTTTTTTTCGATTTGCGGAATATTCTCGCGGCAGTTTCTTACGAGGATTTTTGAAAGTTACTCACGCATGCGGGATCCTGCAACTGGGACACGCCCGAGTAGGCGCGGGCCAAGTAGGCGCGACCGAGTAGGCGCGACCGAGTAGGCGCAGGCCAAGTAGGCGCAAGGCCAAGTAGGCGCACGGCCCAAGTAGGCGCAAATCTTTTAGCTTAAAATATTCAAATTAAAAAATAAGTCAGTATAAATATTCTTATGTTAATGAGTTAGAAGAAAGATTCTTGATAAAAATTAGAAGAAAGGTACCTATTTTAGAAGAAAGACACCTTAAATATCGATACCCTGTTAGTATACGTTCGTACTGTATGATTAACTAGGTAGTTCAAGAGTATATTTATTTTTTAATCCATTAAAAGCTTTTAATCATTAAAAGACTCCTAACTGTAGCTGTACTTTTTTGTGAAACGCCTTGATAGTCGTATCTTGATTGTTAATTGTACCTTTGTATATAATTCATGTTCCCTTAAACTGGTTAGTTCCTAAAGGCTAACTAGTTAGTCCCCCTTAAACTAGTTGAACTAGTTAGAGTATTCATAACATTGGTAAGCCACAGGAATTATCAAAGCAGCATGGCTTTCACTAATTAACAAACTTAGCAAATAATCCAAAACTTATCAGCAGCTAAGTATGGAGCTTTTATGAGAAAAATATTAAAAGAATTTTTTTTAATTTTATCAAAAAATAAAAACATCAACGAGCTTCACTTAATAAATTTTTTTCCCTAAGAAGGGCAGTTTTAGAAAAAGTCCAGTGTCCACATAAAGTTGCTTGATTATTCAGCCAACTAATTAACAAAATTAGTTGAAGATTAATAAAAAAAATTTAGGGTAAAAATTAAGAAATTTACCCTTGCGCCTACTTGGGCCGTGCGCCTACTTGGCCTTGCGCCTACTTGGCCTGCGCCTACTCGGTCGCGCCTACTCGGTCGCGCCTACTTGGCCCGCGCCTACTTGGGCTGTACCCCCTGCAACTATCTTTTGCCGTTCTCTACATACAAATATTATTTTGTGTACGCATTTTTAATTTTACTATTTTTGTTCCGTCTTAGTTTCGTCTTTTTTTCCGTCTTACTCACAATTGTTTTTCTTTTAGATTTTATTGATAATATTCAAGTTATAATTGAGATAATGGATGAAGAATCGGTAAAGCCTAAGCCATTGTATACGTCGACACCATTAAATAAAATGGATATGAAGAAAAGGCAGCTCGATAGGGTTATTTTAAAATTTATTTCAATTAAAAATTATTAATTTAGTCTGGCACGCCACAAAGTAGTATTTCTCTTTCGTCTCCGTTACACAAAAACATGAAGGCTTCAAAAAAGGGGAAAGACAATTCAGACGTGAACGATGATATTTTTGCGTTATACAGTGATGATGATACCAATAAAACTTCTAATGGAGATTCGGAATACAATCCTTCTAATAGCATGCCTGATGTTGAAGAAAGTGCTGGTAGTATAATTGAGAAAAGTACCCATAGTACTGATAAAGATGGTGATGAAATCAACGAAGAAGATATTGACGAAGAAATCGATGATGGCGTTGACATTGTTCAGGATTCTATTTCTGAGGTAATTACTGAAGAGAAAAATGCAATGACCAATGCCTTGAATGACTCACAAGAGCCGGCACAGATTAACGAAGCAATTCAAGAATCTCATAGCGAAAGTCAGATTGTGGCTGACAGCTTTGAAGGAAGTCCTATTCAAAAGTCAAATTCTACTTCTAATGTTATGGATAATAATATTGTTGAAAGTGGGCAATCGAAGGATATTTTATCTGAGGAAAAAATAAATAGTATTTCGAATGATTTGGAAAAGAATTTTGATGGGATCGAATTATCGAATAACGATAAATCCATGAATAAAGTAGAGAATGAAGACTTGCAAAATGAAGATCCTAAACTTATTAATAGTGAAGAAGCTTCTGAAGAAATTTGCGTCGAAAAAGACTCAACTTTTGAACTTTCTAGTAACAGCGAAGCCATTGAGGAAGACATCGAGCAAGATATTATTACAGTTCCTGCTGTTTTAAGTATGTGCAATTAATTTTAATAATTTCATTTGGGTTTTATTCGAAATCTAATTTTAATGTTTGATTAATTTAGAGAACAATGCTCGCGGTCCGCCAGTTATCACTCCACCACAGCTTAATCCAGAGAGACCGGCTGTAGCTCATTTGCCAATGCAACGTAATTAATTATATCTATTTTTGGAAATTTATAAGCTTTAGCTCCCGTCCAACATGGCCGCTTATTTGGTGGTGCAATGACTGATGAGAGAATGTTAAAAATTCAAGGCATTTCGAATGATGTTGTCACCGCTATGCATTCGTTAGTTTTGGTTTTTAATATCATTTTTATAAAATTTAGATCGCTTTCGTCTATCCCTGAAAATGCTGTAACCGAGGCCCCTCGCGGATTGCGTATTGATCTATTGCCTCATCAAAAGACTGGTCTCACATGGCTGCTATGGCGTGAACAACAGATGCCCCCAAGGTATCAATGTTTTTTTATTTAAAAGTATTTTTCCAGTGGAATTCTTGCTGACGACATGGGATTGGGAAAAACTCTTTCTCTGATTTCTCTCATACTTCACAAGAAAAATGCTCGAAAGACTGATCCGGCAGTGGTTGAACGTGAGAATCATTTACGACGAAATTGTGTTTTTGGTCTGATTTTTAAAATAAAATATTAAAACGTTGAAATTTTTCAGAGAGACATTTGATCCCAGCAAATTCAACTCTTGTAATTGCACCTGCTTCACTTATTTACCAATGGGAGAAGGAAATTATGGACAGAGTCCAAGAAGGTCTCTTAAGAGTTTTTATCTTTCATGGTCCAAAGAACAAACGCGAAATATCTGCTCATAGGTAGATATCAAAATAAAAATATTTTGATCTTTATCATTTTATAGACTCTCCAAATATGATATTGTTATCACTACTTATGAACTGTTGGTCTCAGAGTTGAAATCTAGAACTAAGCTTATTGGTCAAAGTGATAGCGAGTCGGATTCTGATAACCCGTCTCATGGGAGAGGAGGTCGTTCTAAACCTAAAACAAAGAGTCTCAAACCAAAGGTTTTAACTTTTTTAATTTTTATAATCCTTAATTATAATTTCTTAGGCTTCACATGATTCTGTTCTTATGGATATTGCCTGGGAAAGAATCATTTTGGATGAGGCACACGAAATAAGAAATAAAAATGCACAAAAGTCTCGTTGTTGTAGTAGACTTGAAGCAGTTCATCGATGGTGTTTAACTGGGACGCCAATTCATAACAAACTTTGGGATTTATATTCTTTGATTCGGTTTTAACAATTTAAAAATATTAATCAAATATTCTTTTCTCGTCTTCAGATTTTTACGTGTCACTCCATTTTCAGAAGAGAAAATTTGGAAGGAGTTTATTGACAATTCTTCTAGTTTGTTTTTTATTAGAATTATTTATATTTATCTATATTTGCAGTGAAGAGTACAGAACGCTTAAACACTATTGTTAAGAGTATACTTCTGCGACGTGCTAAAAATCAAATTTGCACGATAACGAACAAACCAATGGTTATTTTTTAAACTTTGCAATGAATTTCTTGCATTTGTATTATAGATTGAGATAACTGCTAAAAAATGGGAGGTAGTGAATCTCGAGCTTGGCGAGTGGGAGAGTCACTGTTATTCAATCATGTTCGAAGCTTCAAAGTAAAATAGTTTAAAGTTTTCGTCTATTTCTTTACTTTTTAGACAAAAGGTCTCAGATATACTCCAAGATGCTGGAATGATTGCTCGTCGTAGAGGTCGAAAACCGTTGAAAGAAAAGCCTGTTAATCCATTCAGTAAAATTTATAGTTTGATTAAAATAAAGTACTGATCCTAATAAGGAAATAAAAAGGCCTTTTCAATGATTTAGTATTTTGTCAAGAGATAATCGAGTGCACTTACCGAGTCCGAACATGACTCTGTTGTGTAGTTGTGTTGCTAGATAAGCAGATCTACTTCATCTGATTAAGCTCCAATTTCGCCATACACGTGCTTATTTTGTTACTTATATGTAGTTTTTTTCTAGGAACCAGTACTTTATTTTTCATTTTATTTATATTTTCAAACTTACATTTCTTATATTTAGTAGGAGGTGGTGCCGGCGGAAAGATTGGAGAAGCGGAGTATTTCAAAGTTTATTCATGTATTCTTGTGCTGTTGCTTCGTCTCAGGCAGGCCTGTGTTCATATGTCTCTTACTAAAGATGTGAGTTAATCTTGAAGGATTAAATCCAGTATTTTTAATTTTGTAGGCTATTGACATGGACGCTTTCAAAGTTGATGATGATGAGACTGACAAAGTAATTGCAGCGGAATTCGAGGCATCATTCGCAAATATGTCTCTCGACGAATCTGGTCTAGTCGATGCTTCAGAAAATACAGGACAAAATAAGCTAATCGAGAAAGTTTTCCAGCGTGAATATGCGAGCACAAAAGTTGTTGCCGTTCTTGAACGTCTTAAACCAATAATTGAAAATGGTGATAAATGGTAATTTAAGAATTTATAATTTTAGTTAAATATATTTTTAGTGTAATTGTGAGTCAATGGACATCAATGCTAGGTATTATTGAATATCACTTGAAGCTAAGCAATACGAAATATACTTCCATTACTGGGAATGTAAAAGCAGAAGAAAGGTAATTTAAAATATGGATTATCTTTATTTTTTGTTTTAAGGCAACATCGTGTTGATAGCTTCAATAAGCGTAATTTTGGTCCAAGCGTAATGCTTCTTTCCTTGACTGCAGGCGGTGTTGGATTGGTTTATTTTGTTTATTTTTTATTATAATCTTTCATATTTTTAAAGAATTTGACTGGTGGCAATCATTTATTTATGGTGGATTTGCATTGGAATCCTGCACTGGAACTTCAAGCTTGTGACAGGATCCACCGACTTGGGCAAACAAAGAATGTTTTCATCCACAAGTAAAAATAAATATTTCAAATAAAGTTTCACATTCATAACTAATAATGTAAATTTTTCTAGATTCGTTTGCTCCTCAACAATAGAACAACGAGTTTTGCAATTACAGGAAAAGAAAACACAATTAGCTACATCAGTCCTCGAAGGGTAACATTTGATGCCTAAATAGTATAAAGATATTCTATTTTAGAGCTGCTTCAAAAAAATTAACGAAATTAACCAAGGATGAGCTTATGTTTCTTTTTGAACTTGACAAACCTGCACCTTCAACGCAAAAAACGAGGGCGGCTACTGCCTTGGCAAATGCCAATTCTCAACCAACTACAAGTTCGCAACCTACAGCTTAAATGAACCTTTAATACATACATACATATTTTATTAACTTGAGTACGGAATTATTTGCTGTATAGAGATTTTGGACATTTTATCTTTTATTGTCAAAACTATAAGGTATTTGAATAAAAAATTTACTCTTTAAGACTTGAAAAATATCTTGGAGCTTGAAAGGTTTGTGTGAATATTAGTTTTGAGATTAAGCTAATAATGTGATAACTATGAGCAAAGAGCCGCTGCTTGTACGGTTGGCCTCGATCGATTTTCCAGCTGCCATCTCAAATTGTAGACGACTATTGAAGATCACCTCACTTTTATGTGTAGAAGCATTTCTCTTTTCTACTTCGATTGGTCTTTTTGAGGTGACACTTTGTCCTTGACATCGAAGGCAGTCGTCAATAATCCCTGTATGTTTTCTATTCGATCATTCCTTTCATCATTTGTCCTCCGTTTTTGTTCAACATACTACAGTCCTTCAACTCATTTGCTCCCGCCGGCTATTTGTTTGAGTTGTAGCTTTTTTAAAGAATTTTTTGTGTTGTGGCCATCAGTGACAGCCGTAAAGCCACTACTATATTTGTCCATTCATTCAACCGATTCTCGTAAATTTTCAATTTCTGAAATTAATCTTTTATTTTATTGCCAATGTCTCTTCATCTTTTTGAAAGTTTACAGAATCTCATTTAAAATTTAAAATTATATTTTTAAACTAATTTGCAAATATTTCTTTAAAAATTCTTATATTTTAAGACCTTTAATTCTGTCTTAACCAGTGTTTCACTTTTCTCAAAATTCTTGTAGTTTTTTAAAGAGAAAAGTATTGAGTACAAGCGCAAAAGTGGGCGAAATAAAAGAAAATTGATAGGTTTTTGCCCTTTTTGTTTCTTTTTCTATGTTTTATTTTTTTCCGGATTTTTCTTTTTTTTCCAGACAAAGTTTTTTAGTTTATTTACCTATTAAATATATTATTTTTAAATTTAAAAATTTCTTTTACTTAAAACCTTGAATTATTTACATGTAAGAACTAGGGTTGGACAAGATCGGCTAAACTCATTTAATGGGGTTTTTAAAATAAACGAAACAATATACGTGTTTAAGAGGAATTGTATAAACAATAATGTTAAAGGGGGAAATTAAACGGTTTTTTAAATCCAACTTTAATAAAAATATATAAAAATATTTTTTATGTCATTCCACTTGGCAATTTATATTTTTGTTTGGGATGTGACAAAAATACATATATTTTCTAGCAATAGCGTGAAAGCACAGGAGCGGAAGTGTGAAAAGCAATCAAATTTTCTCGAGTTGGCTAATATATAAAAGGATGAGCATAAATAAAAAAAGAAGAAAAAAAGCCTTTTTCTTTTACTTAAAAAATATTTTTACTTTTCCCCAAAATTTTATTTTATATTTAATAATTATTTTTATATAAAAAATTTTAATAAAAATAAAATTCACAAAAGCTGATTTGAGCACACCTGCTACCTCTTTTTATTTTTTATTTTTTTAATTTCCGTTTCCCTACTATTGATATTTTTATTTAAAACTTTAAAATAATATTTGTAAATTCTTTTCTCTCTAAATATTATTTTTTAACTCAACCATAAACAAATATTTCTGTCCATTTACCCAAAAATTCACCTAAATAAGCTTTTTTTATTTCCGGGTCAATAAAATTATTTTGCTGGAAATAAATATATTCTCTTAAATAAATATTTTGAAAAAAATATTCTTTTTTAATTTCCGTTTAATTTAAATAAAGTCAAATCTTGATATACTTCCATAAAAATAGTATTTGTAACTTTTTTTCTGTACACTAAAAAGAGTTTTTGTGATGTTTTTTGGTTTCCAATATTTCTTATTCAAAATTCTTCCATTATTTTTTATTCTTTTTTTTCAGTCTTTTGCTCTTCTTTCATTTTTTATTCTACACATTATATAGTTTTGTTGGTCTCAAAAACTAAACAAAATATTTCTTTTGTTTACAGACAATCTTTTGTGTTTATTTAAATAAATAAATATATTTTTTAAAAATATTTTTAGTTCTAAAATGATTTGATTTTAAATTTATTTTTATTTCAGAAAATTATTCCTTTCTTTAAAAATCTGGAAACAAAAATAAGCCAACAAAACATTAAAAAGCCTAATCAATCGACACAACACTCCTCCTCATTTCTTTCTTTAAAAACAATTTTGTTTTTTTTAATTCTTTTCAAAAATTACATATTTTTTAATTTAAATAATTAACTAAATTAAATCGTTCCACTGTCAAAACCATCCCTCCCCCTCCTTTATATTTTTTATCCTCTTTATATTTATTTAAAAAATACTAAATAGTTTCACAAATAATTAATTAAAAACTGACGATTAAATTATTTTTTTTTGTATTTTATAAAAATTCCTTTCTTCATTTAAATAAATTGATTTTTGTTTAGACTTTCTACAAAATATAAAATATATTAAAATTAATGTTTTAAAATAATCATCAAAATAAATTAAATGTCAATTAATATAAAGAATAATTCTGAGGTAAAAATACCTAACTTTAATTTAAATTATTTTTAAAATTTATTTTAAAGGAGTTGAAAGTTGAGAATGGATTATTTATTCATTCTTCATGCCCTTCATCAAATAGTGGAAATGGTAAATATTTTATTATTGGTAGGATCCTGCTAATATTTCACGCACATGACCAAATATAGTCGGCATATGATGAGTGATTAAAGGGGGATATATTAGCGAGATTCTACTAAAATATATTTAAAATAATTATTGGGGGGGAGGATATAATTTATTATCTTTTAAGAATTATTTAAAAGATTAAAATTAGGTAGTGGTTGTGATTTATGTTGTTTAATTCAATAATATTTAAGATAACTATAAATTAAATAAATTTTAAAATTGGGAAAAATAAATATAAAAGAATTACTCCTTCCCTCAATTTATTCTTTTCTCTTTTTTAGGTCAAGATTTATTATTAAATGTTGGAAGTTTACAAAAGCCAGATTTAGAATATCTTGGTCAATTAATTAAAGACAAAAAGCAGCTTTCAGCATTTCCAAATGTTTTTTCTCACGTCGAAAAACTTTTGGACGAAGAAATTAATCGTGTTAGAATTGCAATATTTCAATGTGAATTTAGCCACGAGCCTTTACAATTACCTGAAGCTATAGGGGAAATAAGTACTCATCAAGAGAAATTATATGTTCCAATAAAGCAATATCCAGATGTTTGAAAAATGATTTTTTTTGAGAAAAAATAAAAATATTTTTATTTTAAAGTATAATTTTGTTGGACGTATTCTTGGACCTAGAGGAATGACAGCAAAACAATTAGAAACAGAGACTGGATGTAAAATAATGGTTAGAGGAAAGGGGTCAATGAGAGATAAAAAGAAAGAGGATTTAAATAAAGGAAAACCAAATTGGGAACATTTAAATGAAGATTTACATGTTATAATACAATGTGAAGATACAGAAAATAGAGCAAAAATTAAAATGTCTAGAGCAATTGAAGAAGTAAATAAATTATTAATTCCACAACCTGAAGGTGAAGATGAACTTAAAAGAAAACAATTAATGGAATTAGCTATAATAAATGGAACATTTAGAAATGGGGGAATAATGCCTACAACACCTACAAACAATTCAAATAAAAATAATAATTCTTTAATTCGTAAGAATTTTTTGGAAGAATATTTTTTTAAATTCTCTTCTTTATTTTTGTAGCTTTAGATCAACGTTTATTAATTAATTCATTAAATAATTCTTCAAATTCTTTGGGATTAGCTGGTGTTCCTTTAATGATTGCAGCACCTTCTCCTTCACAATTAATTAAAGGATTACCTCCTCCCCCACAACAACAACAACCAAATACCAACAATAATTTATTAAATAATCAATTAGCAAATGCTTCAATTGCTCAAACATTATTACAACTTGGAGGAATTTCAAATAATATTTTAAATACTCCAGGTCCCTATGGATTAGCTTTACCACAACAAAATAATGGAAATTCTTCTTCTTTAGATTTTTTTGGAACAAAGTTTCTTTTTTTTAAAAAACTTTTTCTAAAAATTCTTTTTAAAGTCAATATCAACAACAACAAGACCAACAACTTTCATTATTACTTCAACATCAACAAATGGCTTTACTGCAACAACAACAAAATAATGGAGGAATTTCTTTTGGAGAATATACAAATAATTTTGGGGGAACAGATTCTGCCGGTCAGTTGTTGATCTCTTCTGTATTATAGTAAAAATAAAGAAATAAAATATTTTATCTAAAGTCTTTCACAAAATTGTATATAAATGGGAAAATATTTATATAATTATTTTTGTGTTATTTGTAAATTTTTGTCCGTCAATCATGGTTTAACAATTTTATAGAGATTTAAATATATATTTTATTTTTTAACAAATTTGGGTTTATCTTTAATTTTAACTATTTATTTTTCTAATTTAAAAATTCTTTGGCATTTCCAACTTACAAAAATTTAATTAATTTTTGGTTAATTAACCTTTTCTTCTTTAAATAACAAAATAACAACTAAAAACACCTTTCAGGTGCAATACTTCCTGGACAACGACGTTTTGTTGGACATAGTCGCGACGCTGCATTCCCTTACGGGAAATGATGGGAGAAATTCTTTTAAATTCAAAAATTTTCGTAAATATTTAGAAATGCCTTTTTGTGTTTACGCTTTTTTCTTTCCTTTTAACTAAAAAAATTAACTTGATTATTCTCTTTCTTCTCTCCCTCCTAGACAATTTCCTCCAATTTCGCATAATTGTGCCTTATTTTTTAACAAAAAATCTCTTTTCAAAAAATGCAAAATTTTTATTTAAATCTTTTTATTTTAATCTCTCTAAAACACTCTCTCATAATAATAATAATAGAAACAAAGCCTTAAAAGTTAATTAAATTACTTAAAATATTTTGTTTTGCGGCTTTACAATTAAATTTAAAATGCAATTTATTTGTTAAATAATCTCTTTTTTATTTCAAATAATTTCTAGTTTTTTTGTTAAATTTAATAAAAAATAATTGTGCCTTTTTTAAATGAATAAATATATTTTTGTTGAATATTTTTTAAATTTAAAAGAATTTTACATTTTTTAATATTTTCCTTCAAATTTACGATTTAGTTTTGTCGACCCATCTCCAGACTGATCTTCAGGTGGAAGCCAAGTAGCATACATATCTGATGAATTGTTTTGAATTTGTTCTTCCTTTTCTGCTTTGATTTTATTTTCTTCCCTCTAAAAAATAATTTTAAATAAAAATATTTTTTTAATAATTATTTAATGTAATTAAAAGAAAAATTGAAGGATATAATTAAAAAATAATTAAAATTTACTTGATCCATAATTCTTCGTTTCTTTTCTAGCAAAGCTTCTTTATTTCCTTCTTCTTGTTTTTGAAGTAATTTCATTTGAATTAATTCTTGTTTTGTTAAAACACCAAAACGAGGAGTAATTGAAGCAATAACCGATTTTGGAGGCATTGCTGGAGCATAAAATTTTGGTTCTCTTTCTCCTTTTTTAGTTTCCTCCTCTTTAATTTGTTCCAATTCTGATATTTTTGTTTTTTCTTCCTTTTCTTCCTCTTTTATTGGTGATTTTAATATTTTTGCTTCTATATTATTATCTTCTAACTCAATTATTTTCTCTTCTTTAAATTCTTCTTCTTTTATATTTTGTTCTTCTTTTAATTTTACAACATTTAAATTATTTTTCATAAAAATATTTTGTGCAGGTTTAGTAATTTCCACCAATCTCTCAATTTTATTCTTCTCTTCCAATAATTTCTTTTCTTTACTTTTTAATTGAGAAATTGTCATTCTCATCTAAAAATTAAATTAAAAATTTTTTTTAAAACTTTATAGGTACTATCGCAATATCCGTAAACATTTTATTTTTTCTTTTTCCTTTCCCGAAAAATAAACGCAATGGTCAAAAGAGAATATTGTTAAAGGATTAAATTAATTTGGAAAAACTAATTTTGGGTCTGTAGTTTGCATGACAGATTGTGAGTTTAGTGTATTTCTATTCCCAAAAAATCCAGAATTAATTTAAACTTGACAAAAATTAACCACTGATCCAAAAAACCACAGATCCGTAATTAAATTTTCCATTTTTTCCAAATTAATTTAATCCTTTAACAGTATGCTCTGTTGTCCCATGCATGCATTTTTTAAAGAAAGGAAACGGAAAGCAAATGAAAAATAAAATGTTGACGGATATTGCGATTGTACCAATTCATAAAATTAACCGAAAAATTTCGTTTAATTTCTTTTCCTTCCTCAACAAAATCTTCATTTTTTGTAGATTCGCTGCTGCCTTTCCCAACTAAACGTTCAATTTCCGATTGAACTACCAAAATCTTTTCATTTAATTCTTCTAATTCATTTACTAAATCATTATGGGTTTTTGCTTTGTTAATTACTCCAACATCTCCCTTTAAATTAAAAAAAATTTTAAAACTAAATTAAACCAAACCTCATACCAACGTTTCCTTTTTTCTCTTTGTTCTTCTAGTTGCCCAGTTCTATCGTAAAAAATATCTTCATCCTCGGCATAAAAATCATTCTCGGCATATTTCTTTCGTTTATTCCATAAATTTGAAATTTGCAAAAGACAAGCAGCATCAAGTCTTTCACATGCTAATAATGAACATTGCAATTGTGCCAGACGCTTCGAAGGTGCAGAGGCCGAAACTAACGTACTTCCAGTTAGAGAAACATCAGAAATAAGCCTGATTGTGAATTAAATTACATAAACTTTTTTGATTGAATTAAATTACTTCTCAAAAAAAGCAATGTAAAAAGGAGATTAATATTTTAAACAAAAACAATTTAAAATTGGAAAAGTTCAAAATTTTTAATTTAAACTAACTCAATAGAGCAAATCCATGTAGAGCTTCCATCGTCTTCCTTTGATCCTTTTGCCCGAGATTTTTTAGATTTTTCGCCCAATCCCAAATCATTAGCTTCAACAGTTTTTGTGAAACGAAAATCCATGGATGCTCCTTCTCGCTCAAAATAACGTTCCAACCAATGAATTGGATCTTTTTCATAATAACGATAATTTAACATTTCTGTATCTTCATCTTCTTTTTTACTTGAAGCATCTGATTTTAATTCGGAATTATCTTCTTTTGTGGTAAATACTTCAGAATTACTTTCATTATCGTCTTCATCTTTTTCTTTTAGACCACCACATAAAACAAAAATCCTTGAACTCGCTGAATTAAATAATGAAAAATTATATTTAAAACTAAATATCGACAAAAATATTTAAAAAAACAAAAGTTACCGGCAATTTGGAAGACATAACCAACAAAAAGAGGTACAAATGTTGATTTCTCAATTCGTTTTTTATTTATTCGAACGCCATGTGTACTATTCATGTCATAAATAAACCATTGGGGCTTTCCCCTTACATGTTCACCATATTGAAGAACAGAATGAAAGCGAGAAACCGAAGGATGCTCTAACTAAAAATATTAAAGATTACTTAAATATTCTCTAAAAATATTTTAAACCTTAATTTCACAAGGATCGAATCGACCAATTGTTAGATAAGACTTTTCTCCACTATCACTGTGTAAAGAAATACGTTCAATAACGGTTCCATTTTTAATTACCTAAATAAGAAATATTGTCAGAATAATTTAAAAATAAAATTAACAAAAAGTAGAATATTTAAAATTAAAGCAAAAAAATAAAGAATTACTTCAATATAATAGCTATCTTTGCTGCAAATTGGAACTCGCGCCCAAATCGGCTCAGTATAACGTGTTTCTAAATCTTGCTTGCTAGGAACTTTACATGCAGTAATCTCCTCGTCTTTTGCATCTTCTGTTAATTCACTGTTTTGAACTTTTGGAACTTCCATAATTTAGTAGAAATTTTTTGATGCTTTATTCTGAAAATTAGAAATATTACTTATTGTTAGATATACGGGGTCACGGCATATGTATTTTTCAAAAAATTTAATAAATAAACTAAAAAGGCTGCACTCTCACATGGGACAATTGTACGCTAAAACGTTAAGGACAATCAATGGGCGGTTTTTTTTCACATTTAAAAATTGAACGGTTTCCTGAACCAGAAACCGTTTTACTTGCGGCCAGAATTTTTTTTGCAAATTAATATGAGTAAAATAAATTAGGCAAATTTAGAGATGGGAATGAAATTCTCCAAGGGGAATGAAATTCTCCAATAAATTCAAAAATTATCTACATATGTGATTCTTAATTTATGGGATTTCTATTACCAGAATATCAGTTCTGGTTCACCTTTATACACTAATTAAGAAGAACAAACGATTAGAAAAGCTAGAATTTAAAAAAAATTTTGAAGACGTGGTGAGACTCAAATGTTCAAAAACCTAAAGGTTTAGGCTTCAAAAGGTTTAGGCTAAAAGTAACCAGGTAACGAAAGAGTCTTAAAATATGGCAACAAAACGAAAGTTTTTGGGCCATAACTTTTTTGTTTTTAAATCAATCCAAATAATTTTTGCTTTAATTAAAAGCTCTGGATGTGCTGGTTATTTTTTCCAAGAAATTGTTTAGTCTTTACCGTGTTTCAAAAAAGTTAGGAGCCGTTAACTGCGACTAATCGTGATTTAACATACTTAGGCGGGTGTAACTTTCTAAGAAATGATCGGATCCTTTCATAAAGTTGATAAAAAGAATAAAAACAAATATAGATTCTAATTGATTAAGAAAATTTCTGGAAATGATCGAAATAAAAAAAGTTATGGCATAGAAAAAGGCGTTTCGATGCTAAGTCGCCGAGACTCTATTGACAAGCAAGCCTAAAGGTTTAGGTTTGTGCTGAGACTGAAAATAAATGTAAAGACAAAAGAGTCTTGCTGACTTTTTGACATAATTCAAGTCAATTAATTGTTTTCATCTACATGTTAAATACTATTTATTTTCAGAGTTTCAAATTAAATTATGAATGCTAATAAACAAGCTGAAGAGCAGCCAGAGGAGGATGCAACAGAATTGAAATTTCCCAAAGGTTAAATTAATTTGAAATATTTTTAACGGCAAAAATTGTTTTAAGATTTTGAAGTTCCTGGTTGTGATGCTTTAATGATTTCAGAAGTTTTTCTTCTCCTCGATCATAGACGTAAACAATCGGAACAAAAAGAAGAAATCGAAGATATAAGCGAAGTTTTCTTGAAAACTCTAAACTACACTCGAAGACTTTCGAAATTTAAAAGTCGTGAGACAATTCGTTCTGTTAGAGGGTAATTTTAAAAATTGAAAGAGTTTCTTATAAAAAATAAATTTTAGAATATTTTCTGGAAAGTTAAATCTACATAAATTTGAAGTTGCTCAGATTGCTAATCTTTGTCCTGAAACATCTGAGGAGGCAAAAGCGTTGATACCTAGGTTGGGAATTGTTGAACTTTTAACTTTATCTAATTTATTTTTTTTAAGTTTGGAAAATAAAATGGAAGATGAAGAATTAGATGAATTATTAAAGGATTTACATGCGAAGAAAACATTCCAATAAATTGTTTTTGTAATTAATTATATTTTGGATTGGAATTATTTGTTTAAATAAAAAATTTTATTTTTAGTTTCTACTTTATGTAGTTAAAACATTTTAGTATCTAATGTTTGTTATGTAGAGGTCATTTAATTATTTTAAATTTAGTACTTTATTATTAACAAATGGAAGTTGATGGATGTACAATAGAAGAAATTTCGAAGGCTGTTGACGGTTATTTATTGTTTTTTATTTTATATGTTTAGTTTATTTTTTTAGTTGGGAGTTTTGAATTTCGTCAAATGGTTGGTAGATTGGCGAGTGCTTTTGGACTTGTTCAGCATCCTGATCCTCTTATTACACTTAAAGCTATTGAGGCGCGAATGTCAGCAATTAATGAACAAAAGATACATTTGGATGAACTTAAGAAAAATGTTTTTAAAAATAAAAAATTCTAAAAAATGTTTTTATTATTTTAGCCACATCAAATAAATCCTTTGAACACCGTTCCATTAGGTAAATATTTGAAAATAAAATTTCAAAATAAATTTCATTTAAAGGAACTGAAACAACTAATTCACAAAAAGTGGATGATGGTGTTCGTTTACTTCGATTATTACATGGCGCTAGAATTAGAGAATTACAAACAAAAATTAATGAATTAATGGCTGATGTTCAAAAAGTAACTGCAAGTCCTCGTTGTGATTTGAGTCTTGGACGTGTTGGACGTTAATTTATTTTTAAATATTTATTAATTTTGTTATAATTAAATATTTGACAACGATGTTAGTGGACCCCTTTCGTTGTATATTTTTTAATTTTAAATAAATAAAATTAGAAATATTTAAAATATTTTTGTTTTTTAAAAAGTTATTTTAACTAAATTTTATTTAATTTATTTTATAATCTTCACAATGATCGTTTAAAAAAAGATGAAGCGATTTAAACCAAATATTTTAATTACTGGTACCCCTGCAACAGGTTTTCAATTACTTTTTAAAATCTTTTTTCATAATTTGTTAATTAAGGAAAGACGACTTTAGCCAAAAAAGTTGCTGAGAATTTGCCTCTTAGTTTTATTGATATTGGGGAGACAATAAAGTAAAATTACTTTTTTTTCAAATTTAATAAATTTCAAGGAAGGAGAATTTCTTTGATGGATATGATGAACGTTTAGAGACGCATATTTTGGATGAAGATAAATTACTTGATCATTTACAGGTATTTTAATTTGATTTTTAAATTGAGGGGGGTTTGTAAATTAATGAAAATTTGGGTAAATATTGGGTTTACTGGTTTCTATAAAAAAATGGGGAAGAAGTGCATTTTTGAGATTTGCCGGTGCTAATTGAGTGTGCCTAATGGCAACCCTCATAGACATTGAATAACAACCTTTTCTTCATTTTTTCCAGGGACCATAAACTCTACATTTACTAAAATTTGATTTGATTAAGTCTCCTATCGTAAAGAATTTTTTGATTAATGAAGGTTGAAATCTGAAAATTTTTTAAATTCTTTCCGCAGCTTAATCTTGATATTTAAATTTCACCTATAATTTTAAAGGAGCGATTAGATTCTGAAGAGGGTGGTTACATATTAGACTATCATTCTTCAGAACTTTTTCCTAAACGTTGGTTTGATTTTATTTTTGTTTTACGATGTGATACTCAACAACTTTTTGATCGACTAACTGACAGAGGTTATTCTGACGTAAAAAGAAGAGAAAATATTGAATGTGAAATTTTTGGAACTATTGCTGAGGAGACACGGGAAAGTTATGATAAAGATATTATTTTTGAATTAAATAATACTGAAAAAGAAGATTTGGGAAAAAATATTTTAGAAATTACAAAAATTGTTGGAAAATATATTTAAAATAAATAAATATATTTTTTTGTTTAAATTAAATTATTGTTTAAATCATTCTTTATATCTACTTATATTTTTTTTAATTTTTTAAAGCAAGATTTTTAAATAGAAAAATGGGAAAGGAAAGACTCGATAATGCTGCCCCAGGTATTTTCTTTAAAAAAATATTGTGAAAATTTTATTTTTAAGTTATTCATGCAACGAAAGTCAGACTTGTAGATAATCCTAAACTTTATGATGAAAATATTGAGGACCCAATAGATGCTCAGGAGGTGTTTGACTACATAAAAGATATAAGCGATCCTGAACATCCATATACTTTAGAGCAGTTAAATGTTGTTCAGGTATTCTTAAATATTTTTTTCGGTTTTATAAAAAGGTTTAGGAAGAACTAATTTATGTTGGTCTCGATCCTTTGGACCCTTATGTTGATGTTCGTTTTACTCCAACAATTCCGCATTGTTCCATGGCTGCATTAATCGGCCTTGCAATTCATGCAAAACTTAAAAGGTAAAAGAATTTTTTAAGCCAAAAAACGTCTGTTTAAGGTCGCTGCCCAAAAACATGAAAATTATTGTAAGAATAACCCCAGGTTCACATAGCACAGAAGAATCAATTAATCGACAACTTGCCGATAAGGAGAGGGTAAGCTGTGAAAAACCATTTACTTAGAAAAAGTTTTTATATTTTTTCAGGTTTCAGCCGCGATGGAAAATATTGGCCTTATGCAAACAATAAATTCATGTTTGAAACCGAGTGACAAATAAATCCTTTAAATATTTTCTATGAAGATAAATTTTTATTTCGATTATTGTTAATATTTTATATGAAAGGATTACCAATATTTATATTACTTTATTTATATACCTAAATTAAATTGTTTTTTTCATAAAAAGATGTGTCGGTTGTGGGGCAGAATCCGATATGGTGTTCATTGGGATAGAAAAGAGCAAACTGAATTAGCGGTAAAAGCTTTAAATCTTCGAAAAGTTCTTTCTGTTCAACTTTCTATGGATCCTTTTTCTGGGGACAGCACTGCGTTGAGGTAAAAAGTTTTTTTAGATATTCTTTGTTTTTTTTTTCGCGTCACCTTTGTATAAAATGAAATTTTTTCAGACAGTTATGGTGCAAACTCTCGGCACCAAAGGTTCGGGCAACGAATCCGAGAGTGCGTATTACTCACGAATTGCGTGATGACGGCAAGCCACCTCACTTTCTCATGCATCTTGGTTAAATTTTGACTAAATTATTCCAAAAACTATAAATTATTTTAGATGATGGCAAAAAATTAATGTTCAAAACAGATGGTTTTCACGTTGCTGACCTTATCATGCGACTTAATCGTCTACTTGGAAATCCTGAATTGGCTCCGAAAGGAATTCCTTTTGAAGAGGACGAGGATGTACCGGATACCGAACTTGAGGACTGGCTTAGGAATCGCAGTCTGAAGAAAACTCCATCAGATTTTCTCATCTGAATATTGTTATATTTTTAGTTTTTAGACTAAAACTTGAATTAAAAACGAGGAAAAAATAAAATTTTATTTATTTAATGAGGAATGATATGATGGGGAGAAATTTACGTATTGTTAGTAGTTTTTAGAAAACAACCAAAATGATTTGGCTGAATAAATTTGATTTGAAAAAACAGACTAGATATAAATACCTATGTAAGAGAATATAACAGGAGTAATAAAAATTGTAATCAAATACTTTAGAATTCAAGCAAATAAACTGACATTAAATATTAAATAGCATGTTTCTAATAATCTGTTTGGAATGCATAGCAAAAGAATAAAATTAATATTTTAAAGTTTTGCAAATAAAATAAAAATTGATGTGAGCATTTTATGATTTAATGAGAAATAGTTTTGCCTATCTTATTATCAAAATTTACATAGGAATAGCCATAAATTGAAGTAAATATCTAATTTAATTCCTCTCCAAAGTCAAGAATTTTTGAAGAGGAAAATTTATCAAAAAATAAGAAGGGCAAAAATATTTACATTTTACTTATTTAGAGTACCATAGTTTTCTGTATTATGTAGATTTGTATTTACAGAAGTGTTTTCAGTTGGAGTTCTTATCGAAGTTTGAAAGCAAGACTCTTGTTTATTTGAATGAGCACTAGTATAAGGCGAATTATTTGGAGTATCTAAAAATTAAAATTTAAAAGATAGACCAAAATTTTATACCATTTTTTCTGGAAATTAAAGGTGAACAACTTGTTTGATCAAGTTGTGGATCCATCTCATCATAGGTGTGTCTAAATTAATATTTGTTTAAATTAATAAAAAAGATACAATAAAGTATTCAGATCAATTTAAGTAAAAATTTACCTTACTTCTTCTATTTGTCCTCCTGACAAGTCTGTTATATGACATCCAACTGTTTTTTTCTTTTCAACTGAACACAACTTCTCACGAGGTGTTGGCCTTACAGTTGTGCAAATGCTATAAAAGAAAATACAACATTTTTTATATTAAAAATAATAGCAAACCTTTTAACAACAAAATCAAATAAAAGTGTTGTTAGTGGAATAAAAACAAATCCAAGCCAAAAATTTGGGCTTGTAATCATTATTTGATACATACCTTTCATGTCTGAATTAATAGGTATTAAAGGCCAAATCTTTAAAAATAATTTATTTTAAACAAATTTTTATTAAAAAACCATTGAATAGAAGGCAAGAAATACAAACCAAGAAATGATTGAGCCAATACATAAAACTATTATTATAAAATTAATGGAATCACATTCTATGAGAGCCTTTAAGCAAACAGTAGTAACAACATACTAAAAAATAAAATTGTTAAAAATATTTTTGCGAAAAAATATACAGAATAAAGTGAATTTCCAAACATCAGCCATCCACCAATTCTTCCCGATGACCAAAGGATAGCATCTCCATAAAATCCATAATTAAAGAAAAACAATAAAAGTGAGTGCCACAACGACAAAGAAACCCATAGCACAAATCTCTAAAGTTTTAATTAAATTAAAAAAGAGTTGAAAATTTACATAATTGGAAAAGGCCATTTTCTGAAAGCTTTGATAAAGTCTTGGATGCTTTAAAATAAGTTTTTGTGAAATTGGCCGGTCAAAAAGCCCAAGAATGATTGGAGGCCAAGCAGTAAAGAACATATTGAACGAAGCAATCGACCAGCGTTCGAAAATTGTAACACCAGAAAATGCAGAGAAAAAAGCAAACCACAATTCAATTATGTAAAGACAAATATTTTTGTAGAAACTATATAGAATAACTTTAACAGTCCTTTCGTAGTTCCAAGTACCTGAATAAATATATAAAATTAAAAAAATATTCTGTTTCACCATGGATGAGAATGAGACGTGTTAAATATTGAAATTGTGCAATTGAATAATCACTTGCAGAAGCAGCCTAAATTTAAAGACAGATAATAGTAAATTTATTTAAAATATTTAAATAAACCTGTAAACCTTCCACACCAGTTATTCCAACTCCAACATTGGCAATTCGAATCATTGCTACATCATTTGCCCCATCACCTACGGCTAAAACAGATCCTTTAAGCACTTTAACTATATGAACAATTTCAGCTTTCTTCAAAAAATTTAAAAAAATTTTAAAAAATCCATTTATTAACCTGAATTGGTGTCATTCTACAACAAATAACCGCTTGACATTTACCAATTAATTCTGAGAAGAAGGGGCGGGCTTCGCCAATAAATGCATGATGTAAACTCCCGCCATCAATAACTAAAGCAAATTCAGTTCCAGATTCAATATATTGGTTGGCCTTTTCAGAAAAGTTTAAATATATATTTTAATATTTTTTTAGAAAACCGAATTAATAAAAAATTTAAGTTTGGCCAAAACTGCTTCGAATGATTTCTCAACAATTTTCATTAATTTTGTATCTTTTGAAGTTATCGAAGAAGAATGGGAGATTTGAATAGCCGTTTCCAATTTGTCACCAGTAAGCATCCAAATAAAAATTCCAGCACTTAACAATGTACGAATAGTTAATGGAACATTCTAAATAAAGAAATTTTGTTAGATTTAAAGATAAAATTATTTCTTAAATTTATCCCATATTTTTGATTTACCTCTTGTAATTTATCTTCAATAGCAGAAACTCCAATTAATCGCAAATTACATTCAACTCTCTCTGAAACTGCTGCCAATTTTTCTTCTCTTTTTTCCAATGATGTTGAAGATGTTTTAAATTCCTCTATCCAATTTGAATAAAATTCTGGCTCAAGCTCTCTCATTCCAAAACAAAGGGTTCGATACCCTAAAATAAAAAATAACTTCCCAAATATTTTTAAGCAGTTACCTTTTTGAGCATAATCATTTAATGCCTGAGTCGCACTTTCCAAAGAATGAGCTAAATTTAGTTCAGAAGAAAGACGATCAAATATAATATTATCCTATAGAAATATTTAAATAAAAATTTAAAAAAAATTTATTTACAGCTCCTTTGCAGTAAAGTTTAATTTTGTTGTTTTTATCCTTTAGAATTACACTCATCCTCTTTCGATCACTTGTAAATTCTAACACATTTAATAAATCAAAAGATTCCAATCCATAAGGCTAAAGAAAAATAAAGAATTTTTTAAATAAAATATATTACCGTCTGAACAAAAATTTCGGTTGGTCTACGCTCATTAAATATAAAAGAATTATTTGCTGCCATTCGAACAAGAGCACCTTCATCAGGGGAAGTTGCTTGAAAATTAATTTCGCCATTCTCTTTATGTTCAGGAACAACTGAAAAGAAATAAAAAAATAATTTTTAATTAAAAAACCTGTATGACAACAAGCTAACATCAACATAAATTCATATATTAACTCGGAATTTTCCTTAATTTTTTTAAATTAAAAGTAAATTTTCAAATTAAAAATACCTTTCCGTCAGACAAATCTTTCAAAAGATTACCATCAGAGAATTCATCCTAAAAATAATCAAAAAATATTAAAAACAAAAAATTAAAAGAACATGATTATCGTCCCCATAATCTATCCCACCAATTTGACATCTTTTAAATTTCATAACATTTCTTGTCAATGTTCCAGTTTTATCTGAAATATTCTTAGAAATTAAAAGAAATCTAAAACCCATACCAGTCATTAAATATTTGATTTGGCCTAATTCTTCATTTAAATTAGAAGTTCTAGCATTAGCAGGGATGTCAACATTTTCATCATACATTTTTAAATCCTAAAATACTTTTTATTTTTATTTAAAAATTATTTTAGAAAACCTGATTAATATATCCGGCTTGGAAAAAACGTACAACTTCTAAAGTAACTTGAAGACTAATCGGAATAATATTATTGTAAAGTATAAAAAATGTAAGGGCATTCCAAAGGAAAGACCAACGTTCAAACATATTAATATAAAAACTCTTGCCCAAAATCCAATTAAAAAATTCCGAACCAATAACACTTTAAATTTTAATAAAATCAAATAAAAAAAAATTAAATATTAACCTCACAACAGTAATCATAATTAATAAGAAAAAAAGAAATAGAATCCTTTGATTTGTTAAAATATCAATGCCTGACCTAAAAAAAAGAAATAATTATTATTTACAAAAATCAAACGTTTTTATGGGAGCTGCTGCTGAATTCATTAAAAGACGAGATTCATGGCCTGTATAAACTACAACCCCACAAACCCATTTACAGTTTTTAAGTTTTGCTCCTCGCAATAAAAATTGAGTAATATCTTTGAAAAAACAATTTAATTAAAAGAATTAATTTAAACAACAAACTTAGAGGTAATCGATCATTCCCAAAATGTAATGTCCCAATAAATTCATTAACTTTTCGATTTGGATGTTCACATTCTAATTCCAAATTTAAATGATTCATTCGTTCAAAATCGAGCAGAGAAGTTTCCGGCTTTGCCTAAAAATAAAAATTTATTAAATATAAAATGACTGGCAAAATTTAAAAAAAAAGATAAAAAAGGCAAAGAAAACATAGAAAATGTACAAGAAATTAAAATTTAAAAAATTAAAAACCTGTCTAATTTTTAGATTAGTTTCGCCATCCAGTTGTGCAGTTTCAATATAAGCTACAAAAATGCTAACATCATTTTCTCTTTAAATAAATATTTACCCATTCCCAAAGGTTCACTCGAAGACAAAATAACAATATCAGCAGGGAAAGGCCTTCCTTCATAAACCTTTACTATTTGTCCAACTTTTAACTATAAAAAAATTAAATTTAGAAAAATTAAAAACCTGTTTCCATCTACAAATTTGGAAAGTATTTCCAATAAGCGTTTGAATTCGATAATTATTTACTTCAATATCCATTCTATGCCTTTTCTTTAAAAAATAAAATTTAAATAAAAATTAAACTAATTTATTTACAATATCTTCAAAAATCTCTTTAATAGCAGAAATTGAAAGAATCATTAAAAAAGGTATTCCTGTTGTATATTTACCTATACAAAAGTAAATTTAAATAAAAATTAAAAAATAGAATTGTTAATTAACCTGTCGGACTAACTTCCGGAATTTGTTGTAGGATAGCAATACAAAGAAAGAAAATATTTGAATAACGATGAAATTGTTCAAAAAGAAAAAGTGGAAGAAAAGTAAGAATATTATATTTGCATGTTCTGAAGAAAATTTATTTATTTTTAAATTTAAAAGATAACCTAATTTTATTTCCACAATATTTTTGACGTTGATGTTCAGAATTAACAACAATAATTCTTGGTATTTGTGGCTGTGCAGAATGTGAAGATATTGACGATCCTAATGAATTAGCTCCATTAATTGGAGAATAGGAGAGAATAGTTGAACGAATCCAATCCATTATAATAGAAAGTTTTTAATCTAAATTAATAAAATATTTAAAAAAGTAAAAAAAATATCAAAAATTTTAAATGTGAATTTAGAGAAAAGAGCCTACTAAGGGGATATAATAATTGCGAATAAAAAAAAACAAAAGTTTTCAACATCAATTTACAAAAGTTTTCAACATCAATCCAGAAATCGTTACTGTCTGGGTCAGCTGGCATTACAACTGCCACCCTGAAACAGGCTGTCAATATTTTTTTATTCACAATTGTCAAATCGGAAGTCGTGGCACCTTCCTGATATCACATAAGGTACACCACAGTCACGCTGTCAGTACCGTGTGGTAAAATTCGGGATAATAATTTTAGTAAATGATTTGTATGTACGCCATTAATGATAAAAATGAAATTAAAGATAGAAAAACATTAAATAAAAGTACAATAATGGATCTTTCTTTCTATTTTAACTAAGAACTTGCTCTTTTTCTTAAAGAATTTCTCTCTAATTTCTTCAGTTACCCTTTATTTAAAAAATTGAACAAATTAGAAGTTATTAGAGTACACTGATAATGAATGAATGATTCATTTTTTTTGTCTTTAATTAAAATAAAAATTTAATAAGTGGAGTTTTTTTTATCATTTAATGTTACAATATCTTTCATTATTCTACCGTATATTTTAGAGTTAGTTACCGGCAGATTATCGCCTTAAAGAAACTTAGAATATAAAATTTAATCGAATTCCACATGGCCAATAATCGACTAAAGCCTTTCGATTATTGATTAATGCCACATTGAATTGCCATGATCAGGCAATTCTTTAACATTAATGAATTCATTTATCGTCAATGTGCGACCAAAAAGAGGAGGAAGAATTGAAATACCATCAAGAGTTTAAGGAGGAAGAGAAGAAAGAAGTTGTTGAAGAAAATCAAGAAGAGGAAGAACAAGAAGTTGAGGAGGTAGAACAACAAGTTGAGGAAGAGGAAGTTGAAGAAGTAGATGATGATTACTCTTCAATTTCTCTATTTCAAATTATTATAATAGCTGTAGCTCTCTTCTTGGCTACAAATGGCCCTACTAACTACCCTCTTCTTTGGAATCAATTGACTAATCCTCCTGCTGATTCTCGTCATGCAATTAGAAATGGCAATAGTGGAACTATTCCAGTTAGTCCACATACTGTCTTAATACCTATTCAAACAATCCAAATGAGAGAATATGCCCTTGGAGTGCAACAATCGTTAGAGACTAACGTAGCTAATGCTGAGAATAGAATTGCATTGGTAAACAGAATGTTTGGGGATTTGGCATTGGATGATAAAAAGTCTGGTGAGGTAAATAATGGGGAATATTTTATTTAATTAATTTTTATTCCTTTAATATTTAGATGGCAGAATTACTTGTTGGAATGAATATGACCAACGTAAAGAATTACTTCCTTCAGTTGCAAGATTTTTCCCTTAAAAATTTTCGGAATGAAGTTGGTGGCAAAGAATTACATGAAAAGATTATGGAACGTTGGATTAAATTTGTCGATAACATTATACACATTCATAAACAATTGTAAATTTAACTAAAGTGTATTTCGAGATTTTCTTTAAATGAGTAAAAATGTTTAGTTATGTATTAGTAATAATTAAATTAGTTAAGGTGTAATTAAAATAGAAAAAAACTTATTAAAGAATATGTAACACTTAATTCAAATTCGAGAAAAGTTGGAGAATCTAACTATACTAAAATTTATTTTTAAGAATGCAGTCTTATAATCCATCAATATTTATTTAAGAAAAATGTTATAATTAATTAAATTTTTTAAATAAAATAATTAAATATACAATAAAATTTCAGGCAAAAAATATTTAAAATTATTCACAATTTTAATCATTTTGTGTATTATTCTTTTCTTTTAATTTCTTCTCAATTTTGTTTAAATCATTCATTAACCAATTAATAAACATATAAATTGTTGAAAGAAGAAATAAACTTTAAAGAAAAAAAATTAATTTTCAAATTACTAAACATTTATTTACCCTCCACTAATTGTACAAAAACCAACACCAATACCAATTGAATAACGCAAAAAACTTGGCTTTGCTAGAATACTGAAAATTGAAAATAAAATAATTTTTAAAGAATTTAATTTTAAAATTTACACAGTAACACAGTCTTTGACCACATTTTCAACAGTTGTTATTTCTGAATTTATTTGACTTTGACCAATAACAACTCCAATGGCAGAAATTAAGAATGCAAGATAAATAAATACAGACATTGTTTTTGAAGATTTTTAATTCTTTTGTACGATAAACATGAATAATAATAGACATTTTTGTTTATATAGTGTAAATATTTGAAAGTTATCACTAAAATTTTAACAAAATTTTGTCAGATTAAAAATCATTATTTACATTTATTTTTCTAATTTCCTCTGGTACTATTAAAGAATAAATGGCCATTAATTTAATTATTTCACTAGCAACTGTTTAATCTAATCTAAATCCTCAAGGCAATTAATAACGGACAGAGTAAAGGCCAAAAGGTTCTGAATGTGAAAGTATTGGAGATTGAATAGCAAAAAAAGACCAAAACATAAATAAAGGGGCATAAACATTCACATCTGTTATTGGTTTGCTGTTGGTAGAGAGGCCCGTTTAAAGTGTCTAGCGTCCAAATTCAATTTTTTTTAAATAACTTTCCTTTTTGTTTTTATTTTGATCTTTACAAAATTTTAAATTTTGCACCTGTGAATTAAAAACATTTTAAATGTTTGATTACAGACAGTTAATTTTTACAAAAATATTTCTATATTCCTCCTCATTCCAAACTTTTATTTATGTAAAACGAACAGCAACTCTCCTACAATTTCCCATAACTCCTCTAATCTTTATTATTATTATTTCACGATAAAAGTACATAGTATATAGTGGTGGTCACTCAATTTTTCTATTCACTCATCTTCATATTCTTCCATTTATTTTTTTCTTCCATTTTTATTCAACAGGGGCCTATTTCAATTGTCCACAGATTCTGCATTCTGTGCACAGAACACAGATTCTGTGGAAATTCTGTTTCAATTAAATTCTGTGTGCACAGAATCTGTGGTGCCCGCAGATTCTGCGGAAACATCCAATGATTCTGTGGAAACATTCCGCAGATTCTGTGGATGAAAATTTCTGTGGAAAATATAAAAATCTGTGGATTTTTTCCACTGATCCACAGAATTTGTATTTCAATTATTTTTCTGTGGTTCTGTGTATTTTTTCTTCTAAATTCAAATTTTTTATTTCCGCGTTTTTGAAAATAACAGTTTTATTGAAACGAAAAATGGTTTGGACAGTTCGGTACTACCGCAGTATTAATGGTACCTGATTTTTTGAAGTAAAACTTTAAAAATTCTTAAATTAAACTGAAAAATATTGTAAAGATTTAAAAATTTTCCCTCCAAATCACATAACATCCCTTTAAATCTCTTTGATATCACTTTAAAACCGCTGATATACCGCTTAATTTTCTTGTTCATCCAATATCCTTAAATCTCCAATTAAATTAATGTCCTAAAGCAGGGTTCGGATCGGAAAAATCAGGAGATGTCGATCCGACATGTGGCTTTTTCAAACTACGATAGAAGTTGTTGCAAGGGAGGGAAATGTTTGGGGATTGTTTAGTCAGAAATTGAGGTTCCTGGAAATCGAAAATGCCTGGAATCCAAAATTATAGTCAAATCGGAACTTTAAAATCGTAGAGGAGTGATTAAGTGGGATATCCATTGATTTTGAGGTTTAATATATTGGAGTGATTAAGGAGGAAATCTATCATTAAATAGGAGGAGAGATTATGACGGATATCAATGAGAGATCATGGGAGATATCCCAGTATACGCTATACAGATATATTCTATAGATCCTGGTAAACATCCCCTCATTAGAGATATCCATGATGATTAGAACATCATAGCTCTAAATTTCAGAATCTCTCACGTTTTTTATTTTTTTATTGCTTGAATATAACAAAAACTGCGTAAAAAAGATGTACCTTTTTCAAAATTAATTTTAAGCAATAATTTTAGGTAATAAAATTATAATTTTTATATCAAAAAATAGAGAATGATTCAAACTTTAATAATCTTTAAAAATTTTGAAATTTGGTTAAGCCTAGGCCTAGAAAAAAATTGTTAAAGTTTTTCCACAGAAAGTTCGCAGAAAAAATTTTAGGGTGGATTTTTTAAAGAATTCTGTGTATTTTCCGCAGACCACAGAAATAATTGAAACAGAAATGCACAGAATCGACTAAAAAAGCCACAGATCTGTGGATTTTTTTCTGTGCACAGAAAAATAATTGAAATAGAATTCTGTGGTTTTTGCATGTTTTTGGATGTTTTGCAGAATCTGTGGATGTTTCCACAGATTCTGTGCATGTTTCCACAGAATCTGCGGACTTCTTTTTCCGCAGAATCTGTGGAATAATTGAAACAGAATTTCTGTGGTTCTGTGGTCTGTGCACAGAACGCAGACCGCAGAATCTGTGGACAATTGAAATAGGGCCCAGATTCATTTTGGCTTGGGCAGTTAGTTACCCTCACAGAAAGAATTGACCCAAAGAGAGTTTATTAAACACACAGATGAACACTTTTCTAAACATACTTTTTTGTGACTTAGGGATACTAAAATTGATGTTTTATTGGGAATAAATTCCGATCGGGAATCAGTCCAACCCTACTTTATACAGATAAGTACCATATATTTCCTCTAAAATAAGTAACTAAAAAGCATTGCCCAAATTTTAGAATACATTCTTTTAGAACACTACATGTTTAATCTTTTTGCTATTCTAACAATTAAACTTACCGTATAAGCTCTAATAATTACTCTGGGTAATTATTGTTTCGGCCTCTCGCTGAAGGGTGTAATTAATCGACGAGGGGGAATTATTTGAAATTATTTTAGAAAGGCTAATTCACCTGGATGGTCTAATTATTTGAGAGGGGATAATCATTATACGGGAACTCTGATAATAAATGAAATTATTTTAGGAATGAAGTGGAAAACATTTCAAATAAATTGGCCTTTAATTCTTTTTATTTTTCAATTCTTTTTAACCGCAAATGCACAATGGAACAGCTCTGCAGGACCATTAAGTCCAATTGCCTTTAATTTAGCAACAGGCCGTCGTATAACGGCTAGTTCAACTTGTGGAGAAGTAAATGGAAGACCAACTAGAGAAATATACTGCACAATTGCTGGTGATATTTAATTTAAAAACGGGGATATTCTAAATTATTTACTTAGGAGCAAGTCCATATTCCCCATACAATCAATATACTTTTACAACAATATTGGATGAAAGGCGTAATAAATATAGAGAAATGCGGGCTGAAGCTGGTTCTTTTATTCAAGATGGGCAAAATTGTGATTTTTGTGAGGCAAATACATCCTCTGCTCATCCAGCATCAAATATGGTAGATGGAACGCCATTATGGTGGCAAAGTCCTCCACTTTCTCGAGGGAATATGTAATCTTGATTTAATTTATTAAATTAAAATAAAATATTTTTTACAGTTATGCCCAAGTGAACATTACAATTTATTTAGAACAGGTAAATATATTAATTTACCTAAATTATTTATACTCTACCTTTTTAAAGCCATTTTATGTTTCGTATGTTTGGGTTCAAATGGCAAATAGTCCTCGACCAGCAACTTGGGTACTTGAACGTTCTGCCGATTTTGGCATTACTTGGCATCCATGGCAATATTTTGCTTCGTCTCCTGCTGAATGTTCTCGTTTATTTGGACTTGCCTTCCTTAGACCTATAATGGAAGATGATGATGTTATTTGTACTAGTGAATTCTCGAAAACTGATCCGATGGATAATGGAGAAATTATGTAAATAATTTAAATTTAATTTGTTTTGAGAATTTCTCTCTCTTTTATTTAAAAATTTCTAATTAAATTTTTAAAATTTCTAGGCTTAATTTACTCGAAGGAAGACCTTCAAAAAATAATTTTGGTGGCTCTAAAAAATTGCAAGACTTTGTTTTGGCTACAAATGTTCGTTTACGATTATTGCGACCGAGAACATTGCAGGGATATTTGATGGATTTACATGGGACACAAGACCAGACACAAGATGTTACTGTAACTAGAAGGGTGAGAAATTGATATACCTATATTAAATAAATAAATAATATTTTTAAAGTATTATTATGGAATTAAAGAAATTTATATGGTTGGAAAATGTATTTGTAATGGACATTCTGAACATTGTAAATTTTTTAAAATTAACAAAAATAAATTTAAAAAAATGTTACAAAAAAAAATAATTTATGAGAAATAATGTTTTAATTACAGTAAAGTTATTTACAAAGAATTAGTTAAAATATAATTTTTTCCATCTCTTCTTTCATTGATAATTTTTTAAAAATGAAGGTGAACCATGGGATCCAGCACGTCCTAATTTATGGCTCTGTAGATGTGATGTAATTTAATAAATATTAAAAATATTTTTTAAAAAAATATTTTTTAAAGCATAATACAGAGGGGGATAATTGTCAACGATGTAAACCTGGATTTGAACAGAAACGTTGGAGACAAAGTCATGATGATGATCAATTTGTTTGTGAACCGTGTAATTGCCATGGACATTCGAATGATTGTGTTTATGAAGAAGAATTAGATTTACAGAGGAAAAGTTTGGATATTAATGGAAAATTGGAAGGAGGGGGACGTTGTTTAAATTGTCAACATAATACTAAAGGAATTAATTGTAATGAATGTGTTAAGGGGTATTTTAGACCAACAGGAAAAAATTGGAATGAAATTGATGTTTGTCAACGTGAGTTTATTTTATTTTTATTGAATTGTGAGAATAATCAGGGATTGTAGAATAAATGCAGGATAAGGAAGCCAATTTGTTAATTAACCAAATTTTGTAAGATAAATTCAATACTTCGGCCTTGTTTTGTTTAAACCTAAATACGGAGAGTATGTAATAATAACTGAAGAATATATATTTTAGATAATGTTATTTTTAGAGTGTGGCATTTGACGGAATCTCGTTCCGAAATCCCAGGATTTACAGAATTAATTCAGCGTGATCCTGTCTCATTCAATTTTTTAATTTCGTTACGGGATCCCGGATGCCGCACTCTAATTATTTAGCTATACCCCCTTCTTCCCCTCCTAATAAATTTAATACTAAACAAATTTTAGCTTGTATTTGTGATCCTCTCAAACATGGAGGAAGTTGTGCAGAAGAAACAGGTCAATGTGAATGTTTGCCACAATTTACTGGACCTAATTGTGATCAATGCGGTAATTTTTATATATAAATATTTAAAGAAATTTTTTCAATTTAGCTGCTGGTTATTTTCATCCCCCTGAATGTCGCCCTTGTGAATGTAATGTAAATGGAACTGTTGACAGACAATGCTTGGTATTTAATAATATTTACATAATATTTAATTTTAATTTTTAATTAAAGCCAGATACACCAAACGGGCAATGTCCTTGTCTTCCAAACTTTAGCGGCCGTTTGTGTGAAAAATGTGCTCCAAGTTTTAAGAATATAAGTGCTGGCTGTTTAAATTGTGATTGTGATCCTATTGGCTCAACGAGTGGAGAATGTAATTCTACAACTGGACAATGTCAATGCAAAAGCAGTTTTGGTGATATTAAATGTGATAAATGTGCTAAAGGATATTATAGAAATAAAGAAACTAATGGTAGAAAATGAAAAATAAAAATAATTTTTTAAAAGAAAATTTAAAGATTGTGTTTATTGTGATTGTGATCCAAGCGGTACAGAAGACGAAATTTGTGATGGAAGTAATGGACAATGTCTTTGTAAGCCTGGTTTTGCTGGAAGACGTTGTGACAAATGTGATGACCAATTCTTTGGATATCCTTCTTGTAGAGAATGTTTTTGTCATGAAAGAGGCTCTAAAAGTTTAGAATGTGATAAAATAACTGGGGAATGGTAAATTAAATGAAATAATCTTTAAATAAATAATTTTTCAAGTCCATGTTTTGCTAATTTTACTGGCCGAACTTGTGATAAATGTTCTGCTGGTTATTATAGATTCCCAGATTGTTTAGTTTGTGGATGTGCTTCTGCTGGATCTAAAGGATTGACTTGCGATATTGAAGTGAATTTAATTTTAAAAAAATAAAAAAAATATTTTTTAAATAAAAGGGGCAATGTTATTGCAAACAAAATTTCCAAGGAAAACAATGTGATCAATGTTTAGCTAATTTCTTTAATTGGCCTCTTTGTGAAGCATGTAATTGTCATCCAGCGGGTGTTGTTCCTCAATTTGCTGGATGTGATAAAGGTAATTTAAATTAAAAAAAAAAAGTAAAAAATGAATTTTTTTTAATTTTTTAGTGCCCCCAGGCGAATTATGTACGTGCAGAAAAAATGTCCAAGGAAGAACTTGGTAAAAAAAATAAATTAAAAAATATCTAATCTTTTTAAAATAAAGTTCTGTTTGTAAACCAAATCATTGGGATTTACAGTCACACCATCCAGAAGGGTGTGTAGACTGTGCTTGTAATATGACTGGAACTTTGTCTTTATCCAATGATTGTGATCAACTTAGTGGGCAGTGCCAATGTAAAAGATTTGTGGATGGACAGAAATGCGATTCTTGTCAAGAAGGATTTTACAATATAAGAGCTGATAGTTAAATTAAAAATTATTTTTAATTAAAAAGAAAACTTTAAAAAAAGGTCATGTTGGCTGTGAGCCTTGTAATTGTGATATTGGAGGGGCTATTGGTATTGGATGTAATCAAATAACTGGACAATGTAGATGTAGACCTCGAATTGGGGGACTTAAATGTGATAGGCCTGTACAAGATCATTTCTTTCCAACATTATGGCATTATAAAGTAAGTGAAAAAAGGAGAATTTTAAATAAATAAATTGACAAAAATGAGGAAAAAAGAAATTTTTAAAGTAAAAAAATGTTGGGAATGTTTTTAATTCTTTCCTTCTTATTATATTCTCTTTTTTATATCTCTTCTTCTTTTTCATCCCTATATTTAATTAGAAAAAACTTTAATTAAAAAAAAGAAAACCTTTTAATTACAAACAAAACAATTATAGCAATAATTATTAATAAAATTGCACTCATAACACTAACTACAAATGCAACAGCCATTGAACGTACACAATTATAAGCTGTTTCTCTTGTTGGATCTATTTCTGTTAATTCAGCAACCATTTCTCCCTTTAAAATTATTTTTAAATCTTTACTGTTATTTCCTTGAATAATTACCCTGGGGGTAATTATTGTTTCAACCTCTCTCTAGAGGGAGTAATTAATCGAAGTTATATACTCTTTTAACTTACTCTTTCCAATGCTTGTTCATCACCAAATTGTTCACTACTTTCATATACTGCATCCAAAATTTTTAAACTTGTAACTAAATCCATCTAAATATTTTTAAAAAAATTATCACTATTAAATATCCGTATATTTTTTACCTTTTCATTTAGTTTAAATGTTTTTGGTAAACTTTCATTTCCGTTTCTTTCAATATTATTATTTCTTCTTCTATTACCATTACGTCTATTATTTTTATTTTCATTATCAAATATTCCTCTTTTTTGTCGTCCACAAATTGGCGGAGTAAGTCCATGACATTCATCTATTGCTTTTTTACATAATTCAACAGAACATTGATAATTTAAAACTGTTGTGTCACTAAATTTATATCCAAATGTCTCAACATAAGCCTTTAATTTTGATATTTTTTAAATTCTATTTTCAACTAACTTTATTCTTTTCTGGAGTATATTCAACATCTGGTTGAATGATTGGGTCTATAGCACATCCATCTACGTCTAACTATAAAAAATATTTTCCTTTTAATTATTTTTAAATAATTCTCGCCAAGTCAAATTTTGATCCTTTTCCATCATCTACTGCACATGAATGAACTAAGAATCCATAATCAGAATCATCACATTCCCACACGTGATAGACTTTATCTCCAACCTTCCCTAATTGAAATGCTGGCCCATCAGGAGATTGAGCATGAATTGAGTAATGACAAGTTGGTGTTTTTATTGTATCCATTAATTCTGTTGTCCCAACCATATTCATGTCAAGAATATTTGTCAAATGTTTAATATTTCTGAAGAAGCACATACAATGAAAAGCTCGATCAGAACGAGTAACAAATGTTCCATGAAATGAAACTACTACAGTTAATGAAAGCATCATTCCTTCTAATGGCCCTGTTACTCTTTGCCTTTGCACTTTAAAATAATAATTTTAGTAATTAATTTTCCTTTCTCTTTTCTTGACAAACTTGTGCAATCTCCATTTTGTATCATCATTGAAAATTTTGATTGATCTGCATTTGAAGCAAAATTTTTTGAACATCTTTCATCATCTGCCATTCCTTGAACATAAACACGTCCATTAAAAGGCTTTTTTGTTTTAAAAGTTAAAGATATCATTGTCTCTTCGCATTCAACAATTGGATCGTCAAAGAGTTCATTGTCTGTTGGTAAATTTCTGTTGTGATATTCAGAAATTTCAGAATTAGAAAAAATGATTAGAGTAGTTAATATTGTTAGGAGTAATTCTAATTTAATCATTTTTTGATTATTTATTCTAAATATTTAATTTTCTATTTTTTATTTAAAAATCTATTTAACATTAAATTCTTTAATAAATAAAATTAGGTAAAAATCTCTAATGATGAAGCCAAACCAAAAAGAGAATTTTCAAGACCACCATTGACGATGAAATAACTCAAAGATTTAACACTTTTTCCATAACTATTTTTTAATTTTCTATCCAATATACTTAAGAGATATAATCAAATGGGTCATCTTTGAATTTTTTGTTGTTGCATTGCGCAACGAATATTAAAAAAATAAATTTTTGGATTTTTTAGAAGAGAGGGATTTTAAATTTATTATTTTAAATTTAAGTATGAGGCGGAAGATGGCCATCTTCCAGATGGAAAGAATGTTCGTTATGCCATCAATAAAGAACAATTTCCAGACTTTTCTTGGAGAGGATTTGTTGTTTTCTCAACAATCCAGGAACAAATTAATTTGGATGTAATAATTAGAAAATCAGCTGTCTATAAACTTCTTGCTCATTATCGTAATCCTACAGAAGTTGATGTTGAGCTGGAAGCTAAATTTGTGCCTTTACAGACACAAACTAGTGGTAAATAATTTTTAAAAATTGTTTTAACAAAAATTAAATTTAAAAACAAAACAGATTCTGAACAAACATCCAAAGTTATTTTACCGCCTAGTGGTGAACTACCACAAAATGCTTTTATTCAATCAAAACCTGACCAACGTCCATTTGTGTTAAATCCAGGCCGATGGCAACTTCAACTGAGTGCACATAAACGTCTTTTTCTTGACTATATTGTGCTTGTTCCGTCAGAATATTATTCGGGTTCACAACTTTCTGAGCATATTCTAGAACCTTGCAAAGCTGGCCAAACTCAAAATTGTATTGATTTGCTTTATCCACCTATGCCAATTGTGGCAACAGTCAGAGCAGATACCGGAATTACAAAATTTGAGGAATTAGTTCCTGGAACTGATAGAGTACAGACAATACTTAGTCATGTATGTTTTGACTTTTTAGAAAGATTTTTTTCTTTTTAAAGTCTCCGGACAGTCTTTTGCCACAAAAAGTTGGACAAGGAGCTCTTGTCAAAACCGAGGAACAATCAAAAGAAATTCGTGTTGGGATAACTGTTCCAGAAGATGGAATTTATTTATTAATTGCTGATTATCACAGTCAAGAGCCAAATTCTGTTCCTGTACGTATTAAAGTTGAACAAGGACAAAAACCTTCTGAAGAAACTCCATTAGTGGCTTCGCCCTCAACAATGGCTGATGGCCTTCTTTTAATTAATCATTGCCCTTATGGTTTCTTTTGCCGAGAATTAATGTCTTCTGATGGAAGGCCTGCAATGTTGGGATTACATAAAAGTCCACCAGATGCCCAAGTAATTTTATCAGTTCAACCAGGACGTGAGTTCTCCCTCGGAGCATTTACTTTGGTCAAAGAAGAAAAATGGCATGGAGATCTGTTAAAACAGGTAAATAATGTTTATTTTAAATTTAAATAAAATTCTAAAAAAATTTAGAAGTCATATTGTGTAAGGAAAGGGGAAAAATGTATTGCCCAACAATTCCCTCAACCACCAAAATCTATTAGAACAGAAGCTGAATCTGGAAGTAATTTTAATTCAAGCATGTCTGCAGATAAATTACCTTTTCAAATTGCTGGTGAACCTGCGGAAGTTAGATTAATGTCTTTGGATACTGTACAAGTAGATATATATTTTTGTTATTCATTGAAGCCATTATTGAATTTTAGAGTACTTTGGAGATTGAAGGATTTGTTGATTCACCTGGACAATATGTATTTGTAGTTCATTATTACAGTCCAGATAATCCACCTGTATTTACTGATGTTCTCGTGCAAAATGATTTTGCTGATGCTATGTTTCATTATTGTCCAAGTATTAGTGGATGTAGAACTATTATAGTTGAGTATTTTAAAAAATTACATTTATAAATTATAATATACTGAGTACACTATATTTAAAACAAATTTTAAAGGTTGATAGAAAAACAGGACTTCAACAATTTCGAATAGAAGATAAATATTTATTAACATTTTATGCCAACAATACGTTCCAAAAAGGTCCAATTTATATTGACTATATATTACCTGTTCCTTTTGAATCTTTTACTGATTCTGTGCTTAAACCTTTACCTTTGGGTTTGGCAGATGAATTTGTTGAAGAATGTGCTGCTGAAAATTTTGGAAATCGGTGAGAAAAAAGATCATGAATTTTTAAAAATAATTTTGATTATAAAATTATTTTATTTTAAGTCCAGAAAATGTTTCTGATTATTGCCGCTCAAAAATATTTTCAATAACTTCTGAATTCATCGGTGCAGCAATGGCTTGTGATTGTAATCCTCAAGGAAGTTTAGATTTTGCTTGTGCTGATTATGGTGGTCAGTGTAAATGTAAACCTAATGTTATTGGAAGATCTTGTGAAAGATGTGCACCTGGATATTATAACTTTCCTGATTGTTTAAGTAAAAAATAAACAATTTAATTTAATAAAATTAAAATTAAAACAGAATGTAAATGTGGAACAAAACAACAATGTGATGAACGTACAGGCCAATGTTTTTGCCCTCGTTATGTGGAAGGGTTGGCTTGTGATAGATGTGTTCAATATGCCTATGGATTTGATCCTCTTATTGGTTGCCAGCTTTGTGGATGTTCTGTTAATGGTTCTGCTGGTGCTGAGAAGAAATGTGATCCATTGTCTGGTCAATGCCTTTGTAAAGATAATGTTGGGGGAAGAAGGTAATAATGATTGGAAGTACAGTGTGTTAATTTTTTAATTTATTAAAGATGTGAAAAATGTTTGCAAGGCTATTGGGCATTTCCAGAATGCAGAGAATGTGATTGTCAACAAAGTGGAACTACAGATGATGTTTGTGATGATAGAACTTCAAGATGTCTTTGCAAAAAGAATTTATTAAGTGGAGGTCGTTGTGATCGTTGTAGACCTGGAACTTTTGATCTTCGAAAATCTGACCCTGATGGATGTTCTGAATGTTTTTGTTTTCGAGTAACAGATCGTTGTCGTTCTTCAAATTGGCCAATTCGAGGACTTAGAGTTTCTGATAAAGATTGGAAAGTTGATGATCCAAATGGGACAGTTTTGAGTGATGAATTTGGAAGAATTATTTATGAGGCTGGAAAGGAATTAAATGAAGGAGAGAAAGAAGAAAAGCAAACTTCAGTTTATTTTGAAGTAGATTTACAGCCTGGAGTTGATTATACACGGATGTATGGATTACATCTTTCTTTTGCTATTTCAAGCTTTCCAAGAGATGATAGACCAAGACCAAATATGAAGGCTGACGTTCGTTTGGTTAGTTAAAAGTTATCTCGTAAATTAAAAAGTTTTGTCAAATTTTTTGTAGATTGCTGGAAATACAGTACTTGAGTATTGGGCAACAGAACAACCAAGAAATGCCAGTCAACGCTTTAATGTTGTTGTAACTCTTTTTCCAGAATTTTGGCTTGAATTACAGGGTTATTATAGAAGGGATATTAAAATAAAAATATTTTTATTAAAGGAGTTCCAGCAAATCGTGCTCAATTAATGTTGGCACTTCTTCGTCTTCAACGAATTCAAGTTAAGGCATCCTACTATGAAAGACCGAGCAAAGCAATTCTTGAACATTTTCAACTGGAAATGGCTGATACTGGTGCTCCAACAACGGTGGAGAGAATTGAAAAAATATTTTATTTATTTTTTAAAGGATGAGAATGGAATAGATAGACCAATGGCATCTTCTGTTGAATTGTGTGAATGTCCATCAGCATATTCTGGTCCTTCATGCCAAGAATGTGCACCTGGTTATTATAGACTTCCAATACAATCTGGTCAATTACTTGGATCTTGTGTTCCTTGCAAATGTAATGGACATTCTGGAAGTTGTGATCCTTCTACAGGAGTTTGTCTTAATTGCCAACATAATACTGAGGGAGAACATTGTGAATTTTGCCGTGAAGGTTTTTATGGAAATGCGACAACTGGAAGTGCTGCTGCTTGTTTAAGGTTAGAAAATGGATAAAATGAATATTTCCTTAAAATTATTTTTCTGCAGATGCCCTTGTCCACATCCAATTCAAAGCAACAACTTTGCTCGTTCTTGTTCCGTTTCTGAATTGGGAATTCTTGAACGTTGTGAATGTCATAAAGGTTATATTGGAGATAGATGTGAAATGTGTGATACTGGCTATTTTGGTAATCCAATTATACCAAATGGAGGATGTGAAAATTGTGATTGTAATGGAAATAATGATCTAAAAAATCCTGGTAAATATTTACTTTTAAATATAATTTCCATTTTATTTTCCCTTTAAAGCTGCTTGTCACCCACAAACTGGCGATTGTGCTCTATGTGAAAATAATACAGATGGTCGACATTGTGAAATATGTGCTCAGTGGTTTTGGGGGGATGCTGTAAGTGCAAAAAATTGCACAAAATGTGAATGCCATCAATGTGGAAGTTCTGTTTGTGATCATTATACTGGAAAATGTCAATGCCATCCACTTGTTGAGGGAATACGTTGTGACCGTTGTGTTGAAAACGCTTGGGGAATTGATTCCTGCCGAGGCTGTCAGCCTTGTAATTGTGGATTAGCTGTTAGTTATTTTAATCCTTCTGTTAGTTATTTTAATCTTTTTTTTTAAAGGCATCGAACTCTCAGTGTGACTTAAAAACTGGCCAATGTGCATGTATGCCTGGAGCCGCTGGACAATTTTGTGAACGTTGTGACCATGGCTTCTGGCATTATAATTCTCAAGGTTGTCAAAAATGTGATTGTGAGGCTGATTTAAGTATGGGAACTGTCTGCGATGTAAATACCGGTCAATGCCATTGTCAAGAAGGAGCTACAGGCTCTAGATGTGATAAATGTTTAACAAATTATTTGCGAGTACCTGGATATGGATGCCGTCTTTGTGATGAATGTGTTTATGCTTTGGTTATTTTTCTCACGTCTAGTTCTCACGATT